TGGGGGGGGGGGGGTAATCGTCGTGGAGGCCTTCGGAGGGCTGCAATTCGCAAACGCTCGGCTGAGGTCGCTGGCCATGGTATCGTTGACGCTCCACGACAGCCTTGCCCGGATACGGAACGCGTCGGTGATTGTCCGTGCAAGCATCATGGCAGGACGGCATACCTGGCTGGATGAGCGACAGCAAGTCAGTAGATGTTTTGGCAATCAAGCGCGTAAACGCGTGACAAGTAGTCCGGTCCCGGACACTGCTGATGCTTCGCGCTGGTGACACTTCCTTTCGTTGGTGAAACTGTCGTGGAATCTTCTGTGAGTGGAGTCGCGATGGTCACCGTCGCGCTCACTGCGAAATTGGAGTTGCAAGTTCGGTGTCGCGCAACTATCGCACTTCAACAGCAAGTCTTGCAGCACCTCGTACAATGTGGACCGTATGCCGCCACCTGGTAGATCTGTAGTAGCCCCTGAAATACCGACATGGACGTTTCGCCGCCGTCACATCTCTGTCACCGCCTCAGTCCACTCACGGCGGCAGCACAACACACACTGCGACAACATGGACATAGACAGCACTATCGCAGCATAACAAGGCAGAGAGTGAGACACGAAGAGTTTCTTCTCCAGATCAATGCCAACGGCAGTGAGACTGATGAAAAAAAGGTCGCGTCAGCTGGAAGTAGTGCAATACCAGCGACACGGTGCCACGCAGACATAGGCAAGCCCAGCGGCCTGGCGACGGGTTCAAAAAATAGGTGTGAGGTCGCAATGCTCAGATCGCGACCTCTGTGTGGTGTGCTACCACCACAAGGCCTCCCCTATGGCAGTGCAGCGAAGAAGAAAAGGGAGAGAGGGTGAGCGAGAAACGAGTTCTTTTATTCTCGCACACTAGCGTGCTTTGTAGCGTGCTTCGGTTTGATCCGCCGTGCTGAAGGCTACTATGACATTAGAAGGGCATGGAAAGATTGTGCTGTGGGATGACGCATTGTGTTGTCGGGGAGAAGGGTGCGTTTTCTTCACTTGCCCAAGTTGCGGGTTCAGGGGCGTGGCAACGATTGATGGTCCATTCTCGGACACCTGCAGGACTCTGGGGAGTTTCAAGAGTCTTCTTTTATGCAGTTTTGTATGAGAAAGGCTTGATAACATGGAGGTTTTGCTGCCTAACATTCGGCCCTGGATGCTTTGTAGCTTGGTAAGCCAGACTTTTATGTGCAGCAGAAGAGGACATCTACGTACGGCCAGATCACCAAACTTGGCCACCTGTCCATCGGTTTCGTCTCAAGCGTCTTGAATGGAATTCTACCGTCAATGGCACCGGAGAAGCATCGTGCTTGGCATTCACATGTGACAAGGTCCGAATCGGGAAAGAGGCATGAGAGGGCCATGATAACGATACCAGGAGCGTGCTGTGGTACATTTAGATCGTAACAGCAGTTTGGTGTTGTGTTGTGAGCTGATTCGCGCCCTTGAGCTAGGACAATCTTTGCAAGCATGTTCAACGGCTGCGGCTTGGCATCACTTCCTGATCGGAGGCGATGTCTTTCAGCGCATCAAGCATCCAACCACAACACACGCTCCTCCTTTATCATCCGGAGACATCAAAACCGAACAGACAAGCGTCAAGAAACCATCAGAAATCGTAAGAAATGACTAGGTCCTCCCAGTGCTGCTGTGACTAATGATTGCAGCAGATGCCAAACCTCCACGACATCAAATCTTGGGCCAAAGAGAAATACCGCGTAGCGAAGAAGAAGGCGAAGAAGATCTTGGGTGTCGACCAGCCTCCGACAGGCTATGAAGTGCTGGGCGACCGACTGGGCTTTGCGCAGGAGCGCGGACTTAGTGTGGATGACGAGTTCTGGGTGCCAAAGATGCAGACTTGATGCGCGTTGGGAGAATTAGCAACCGAACACTTGCTTTTCGAGCCGTGAGATCCACCTTGAGCTCCGTCATTGAACCGTCTCGAGCCCCTCAGGCTCAAATCCGCAAGTCTCCATCCGTTTGCCTGTGTCTGAGATCTGTTTGCTCCTAACTTCACCACGTCTTTGCAAATTCGCGTTCTAGGTTGAGAGCCGACACACCACCTTCGTCGAGAAAGAGGATCCGTACCACTACACCATCGCTAATGCCGCCTTACGTGGCCCCTGGGCCCCCGTCTCGATCCTTCCCGAAAGAGCTACGCACTCCGCATGAGAAGAGACAACGCCTCGCCTTCCTTCGGCGCTCTGTGCTGCAAGATGCGTATATTCTCGAGGTGATTGAGAGGCACCTGCCAACAAGGTACCAGAAGTTCGCTCTCCTTGACGCTGTCGATGCGAGAGACGGATATGTGCAGCTCGTCAGGGCGGGACCGGTGCTATTGCATACCCACCCACTGTTCTCCAGACTCGTATTGAGGAAGATTGAGCCAGCGCTTGTAGCTCAATACTCTACATTGCAGACAGTTCAGCAGCGGCAGAGCTTCATACGTGTGAGCATTAACATCGACAACCCAGCTCACCAACAAGAGATGAGGCGCTTCCTTCGCGAAATATTTGATGGCACCGCTACATTGCCAGGCGGCATCGCGAATCGATGCTCCGATTGCTGGAGGAGAATGCAGGCTTTTCACCTGGATGGTACGATTCGCCGGTGTCGAGCATGCGCCGAGCGGTACTTCGGCAGTGTCAAGCATAGTAAGTTACTTTCCCCCGTAGACGGGAAAAAGATATACTGACCCTCTTTACAGCCATTGAGTCCCTCGACCGACGAATATGTGGCTTCTTCAAGCTACCCCCACCATGGATGTCTGGGTCGTTCAAGACAAATACAGCACCTTTCGATTACGATCCCAGCTTTCCGGTATTCTTCGAACCAGGTACCGAGAATGAGCTAGCATTGAACATCCATGAGGTCGAATGGAAAGATCTCTTGGCTATACCCCTTGCCACTCTCAAGAGAAACTGGGTCAAATACTGCCTTGAGAAAACAATCTCGCATGCCGCCGCCATTCACTCTTTTCACTTCCAGAATCATCTGGCAAAAGAGCCAAGATATCCTGATCCCTACGGCCTTCGCGTGGCCCTCCATCAAGCGAATGGGTCCGACATTGATCTCTTTTGTCCACTTGATGCATACGGGATTTGGTCTGCTGGGTTCGAAGACCTGAAGAAGTTCTTTGCAAGAAGAATATGTCAGAACGACGAGGTTAAAAAGTTGCGGTCATTCTTGCGGGCAGCATCGGACCAGGACTTCGAATCGCGTCTCGTCCCAAGAACTGTTCGCATGCGGCTCGATCCTCTGGACCAGCTGGAGACCGTCATGCGTGACCAATTCAGGCCCTGTCTCGGCGTATATGCTGAGATGGTTTTGGATGCAACGGTACGACCAGCTCCATACGGCGGAGTGGTTCTGGACTGGTGCAACGACAATGCTCTGCCCACGGGGCAGCCCTGTCTTCACGATGACTGCGACGGTCTACAGCCTCCATTCTCGCTGGTGGAACAAGCGTTCATCAGTCAAGCACATGCAACAGAACAAGACGCACAGGCCCACGATATCTGGCAAAGAGTCGCTCAAGTCCTGAGCAGATTCAGAATCGTGCTAGCCAGTATGATTCAACGGGAAGCAATGGCAATCTACCAGGATAACAAGGAGCAGCCATGGCGAGAATGGATTGAGCTAGTCTGCGGCGAAGCAGTCGTGAACAACGAAGGCAATTTTACCACGCTTGGCGAGCAGGTCCGCAACTCCGCTCCGTTCGATCAAGATTACCAAAATCTCGAAGCTTGGTCCATGGGTCGTAACGTCGCACAGCGCGTACGATTCATGGTCCACGTCGGCGCCGAAGAGTTCTGGCGTACCTTTATGCGAAGTCCCATGTTCCTCCGCCTTGCCAAAACATACCTGAAAGAAAAGCAAGTCCTGATTCTAGTACCAAATACCAATTTAAGCAACAGCGGCTACGTGCCTGGCTGGATTATCGATGCTTGGAAGCTCTTGGATATCAAAGTCAACGGTGGAACATTCGATGCTGGAATGTTGATGTTCAAGGGAGTCTGGGAGAGCCCGAGTAAGAGGATTGCTGTGATTAAGTGGAGTTTTCACGATATCCCCGAAAGCGCGAATTCTGCTCGCGGAAGGGAACGCGTGCCTGTTACGGAGAGAATCGATACGGTCTGCATGAAGGATCTGTATGATAACTCCGCAGAGCCCCCATTGGAGGGTCGCACGAAGGCTATATAGCTATCTCTTCAATATCGTAGCTAGGAGAGCTGGATCGAATTGGAAATAAGGTAGCTGGTTGACGGTGAACGAGTGTTATCAATCCATACACCACAATTCTGGAACCTAGAGGCTTGCATCATTAAGACAGTGAGCTTTTTCATCCGTCAGTCTCGCTATGATACTGATGGGCATGAACCACCCTGTGTTCACTCACATAGATCACTGTCTGTCACGTTGCTAGAACAGATGACCATAACCAGTTTGATCAGTAGATAGCCCCTGATCTCAATTCACGCGATCTTTAACGGACAAATGATGAGAAAAGTTCCCATCGACTCACGAATCCTCCATTTCGATCAGAGAGAACTTTCTGGTTTAGGTCGAGTGGCAAGGTAGTGTTCACGCCGACCTCACTCTTCAAGTCAACCTCCAGAGACTTGTCGTCCATGGCAGTGGCTGCTTCTCACCAAGATCCTATGGGGAGATTGACGTTCCAGAGGTGTCCTTTCCACGACTGATAGGTGATGTTATCCTTTTGAGTTCTCCTCGAACCACCCGCCTCTGCCATGTTGCTTTGGCATATCCCCCCGACACAAGTGTGCGCAATCCTGGTTTTCTATGTCCCCTGAGAGAGGCGCGTTGCGAAAAGTGCTTCCGAACACCTTCGCCCGAGAAGCAGCTCCCTCGTCGAAGCAAAGACTCATTGGGGGTTTTAAGCAACATCGCAACTTGTCGCTCCATAGCTTCCAGGTGCCATTTCCTGTGCAGACTCGATCTTGCCGCCTTTCCCTTTCCATGGTGCAGGAAACATCATAACCCTACGGAAAAGTGATGAAGCGGCGCACAATGAGCCAGAATCTTCTCCGCCCATCTCTTCCGCAGTAAATGGCTCGACAGTGCTAGACACTCCGATACTGCCATGTTGATGCTTTGCCCCCTATACGACCCTGCATATAACGAGCTCGTCTGGATGAAGCAAGGGGTGGGTTTTGCTGCGAAGCTGACGGTGGTGGAAAGACTCATGGATGTTGTTTTGGCGCTGCGATGTTCTGCATATCAAATGCTGGTGCGGCACGAAGTTCTTGCGGTTGCAGTGCGTTCCATGAAGCGATAAAAGGACGGTGAGTGCGTTGAAGAGTAGTGGCGATGTAGATGGGCAACATGGCGGCTTCAAAGGATCTGCCACAGCTTTCCTGTAAGTGATGTGGCCGTATACATCAAGAAACGCCAGACTGTGTCTCTCGGTCGTCCGTATTTCATCTAATCCCTGTCGCGGCCCTGCTTTAGCTTGGAAAGCACGCAGTGCCAAGGCGCACAAGCGTTTCTGTCCGCCAATTCCTCTCCAAATGAACTCTTGCCATCACAAATCGATCAAACCATTTCGAAAATTCTGGATCCTTTGACTTCGACACGAAAAGCACCTGTGAATTCATCAAGATGTCGGCCACGAACCAGCAACCAAGACATCTCCCCGTCGTACCTGGAGACTTGGTCATTAGCAAGCATCGTCCCTGGAGCCTTGTCAATGCTGCGCTCCCAAAGTTTCAAGCAAGGACACCAGAGAATGACCAGTACGCAGCAGAGCTGCGACATATGGTCCACCAATTCGGCATGAGTGCTGCCAAAGACTTGAAGAAAGAGGTGAGAGAGCATATCTTCTCTCTTGCATCGACTCCAAACTAACAGATGGTGTTTGCAGCCGAGTATCGAGACCACGGAGCACATGAAAGCACTTGCAAAGAAAGTAGGAGAAGTGTTCTTTCTTAACGCACTCGACGACGTAGAGTTCACTTGGGACGGCGAAGCAATCGCTCCGAACAGCCTTGGTGCAACAGACGGTTACGGAGAAGACACCTACGCCACTCTAAGGTGGGAATTACGGGAGAAGACAGATCTAGGCGTCTTCTATCTCCTCGTAGGCACGATTCTTCACGAAGGCATCCATGTGATGTTTTACAAGTACTCGTGTATGAACGAGCTTTGCGGCGTAAAGAAATGCATGGACAGACCCAGCTTCGGAGAAAACGGGCACTCAGAAGCATTTTACGCGATGGCATCAGCAATCGAGAAGGAGTCGGAGAGGTACTTCGGTACCAAGCTCAGTGTATTCTAAAGCGATGTCTGCATCGTGAGGGGAGCTTGCAAGAAGAGCACGATCTCCTCACGTGAAAAAAATTCAGTGTTGTAATTCAGTAGAACATACAGGAGCAGAGGCGACAGATACTCGACCGAGGCACGTTATAAGCACGTTTAAGGTAGAAGCGTCGAAGGAGGCTGTATCACTTGGACGTGGGCAGCCAACACAACTCGAAAGCGTAGGCCCGAGCAGAGGCAACAGATACTCGACCGAGGCACCCTATAAACACGTACAAGGCAGAAGCGTCGAAGGAAGAGCAAGTAAGGCATTTGTCTACATTACTTCAACGTAAGTAGTTAGTATAACTCGGAAGAGTATGTATAGGGAGAGGCTATAGATACTCGACCGGGGCACTCTAAAAGCACGTTAAAAGTAGAAGCGTATAAGGATATCTAATTCGGCAGAGCAAGTAAGGCATTCGTTTACATTACTTGCCTATAAGAAGCTAACACTCTAACGAATCGAAAGACTTAAACGTCTACTTCTCTTAAACAATATAGTATTATAACTCGATTAAATAATATAGTACTATAACTCGACCGAATCTATCCGAATAGAGGCGACAAATACTCGACTAAGGTATTTTATACACTCGTTTGCTATAGAAGCGTCTAGGTATATTTAAGTTAGTAGAGCAAGTAAGGCATTCGTCTAAATTACTTAAACTAATACTAATTAGTAAGCGTATTTCAAGCTATATCTTCTAGATATTCGTTTACTTAGCTTGCTTGCTCTAGGCATTCCGGAGGTAGAGAAGTTAAAGATTACGAATAGCTAGCTAGAGTTAATAGAGAGTATTATATAATTCCTAGCTAAATAGAGATCTCTTTAGTAGGAGCGCTTCGGTATAGGAGAACGTCTAGTAAGAGTTTAGATTAGCCTTCGTAAGCTTATAGAATTCACTCTAGCGTAGGTACGGTAATCTGTCTTTCTAGCGAGAGGGCGCTAACCGCACTCGGCAAAGTACTCTACGATAACGCACCTAAAAAGCGAAGTAATCGTAAGAGAGGTCTCCTAGCATTAATAGTCTAAAGCACTCTTAGAGGTATTTACTTATATAAATTACTGTCTTTTATCTTGCTTATATAGTGACTCTTATAGGCCTCCACTTTGATTAGTAGATAGCTATTATCTTAATTCATAATCAACACCTGGAGCTATGCTAGAGTTTACAGCGAGTCTTAGCGTTCTTCGGCCAACTAGGATAGCAAAAAGAAGAGCGCCAAGAAAAGGACGCAACGCAGAAGAAGATACGCATAGCCAAGGGTATCTTTGCATTCGCAGTCTTGGTTTGTCGTGAGAGAATTCGCTAAGCATCCTAGGAATTCGAGGGAGAGAGAGAGAGATGTGGGTGCGATTCTGCCGGTTCTTTTTCGCCATTTCATCGATTGTATTCTCGAAACGACCGCGGTGTAACCGTGGTGATGCAAAATTCATAGACATTCAGCTTTCATCCCCACGGCATCGGTAGAGAAAACAGAGGTGGAATGAGATGTTTCTTATCACAATCGGCCTTCGGTCGTGGATGGCGAGAGATCGAGGAGGCTTTGGGAGTGGTTTGCTAGGAAATAGGAGATTTGGTTTTGGCCGTGGTAAGATAGATGATGGCTTGCTTACTGCTGCTCTGCTTCGGGGATATGCTTGAAGTGAATGACTCCATATAGGTAATGCTGTGGACCTCAATGGGTCGAAAGTGAAAAGCTGCGAAGGAAAGATTTCGAGGGAGGAAGAAGTGGATGCAAATTGTGGATATCATACAGGTCGTAGGTTCTCGAATTGCTTACGCTGTATCGTTCGTGATTTCTGGCCGTATGTCCTGCTTCGTACGTATTTCAGCACGGAATCTCATAGGCCAACTGCATACTGCTCGCGCACTCTGCATGTCATCATGAGTCGTTGTACTGTCATCTCCCGCGGCACTTTCTAGCCCGGGCCCCGGATCTTCTCTCTCTAAAATCACTCTCTCGACTCCCAAATGCAAATACGCTCTTACAAAACCGCAGCAACAGCCAACGCCACAGCCGCCAACGCACGCCATCCCATCGCAAGACCTGGAGCACCGGACGTTGCCAGCACGGATTCTAGGGGCACCCCAGTTCCGTTATTGCTATATGCTGCGATCCCAATAGCCAAAGCCCTCAAAGCCGGTGCACCGAGAGCTTTCGAGTTTTCTCTCACGAGCGGCGAAGTCTTCTCGAGCAGGATTTCGTTGAATTGTGTGCTGGTCAAATTCTGCAGTTGCATGGTTTGGAGGGTCAGGTTCTGGAAGCCGTACTGGACGAAGAAAGGCTTTTGGAAGATGAGACTGGCGATTGTGAGGTTCGAGGCGTTTCCGAGAGCCTGGATTGGGGCGATGATGCCGATTGCGGTGGCGGGCACTTCGGAGAGTTCCATGGCGTCTGCTATGCTCTGGTTGATAGCTGCTTGCACGGCTATGCCGGCGGTGTTCACGGCGAGGGCTTGGATGGGTTCGCTAAGGTTTTGGAGTGCTTGGTTCAGCTGCAGAGTGTGGTTGGTGATGTTGTTGATGTCGGCGATGATCGTGTCGATGGTCACTGTCGCCCGCTTGGCCATGGCTGAGTAGAACATGTCGAGGTTGAAGTCGTCGGCGGCGGCCACAGCGGCCATGAAGGCGAGGGCGGAGAGGAACTTCATCGCGGAGGTCGTGGTCTCGATGTCGATGTCGATGTCGATGTCGATGTCGTCGTCGCCGGGAGAGGGGAGGGGCACGGCGAGCTGCAGTTATTATTACGCGGAGGACGAGACGAAGTTTCGACGAAGTCACGGCGAAGGCTCGCTCACACCACATGTTCGGTCGATGTCAGAAGTGCCTCGGTGACAAAGAAGCTATTCACCCCCGCGAGAGTGGCGTTGGCGAAGCTATGCCACTTTCAGCCTCGTCAGCACTCACCTCGCTTGATCGATTGGACGAGTCGTTCTGGCTTGGCCTCGTGCCAAGCTTTTCCCCGGACTCACAGCCCGATCCGGCAGCTGATCCACGCTGGCCTGTGCACGTGCATGTGCATGAAAATCTGGAGCCTCGGTGTCCCGTGCACTTCCGTCTTTCTTCTTCGACACCACCACTTCAAGCCCAGCATCCCTCAAAATCCTCCCAGAATACCGCCTCGGACCTACAGCTTCTCCTCCATTGTACACCTGCTGACTATTCGATTTGAACATTCATATTCCAGCAGGGGGAATAAGCAGGGGGATAAGCAGGGGTTGACAGGGTATCAGGCTATACTCTGGCTATAGGCTTATAGTCCGGAGTGCCTCCGTCTATAGTGACTATCGCCGGCCTTTCCCCGGGTGAATATGACTATTCATGAGTATTCAAGATCTTTGAAAATCAATCATGAATATTCCGAATCCACCTCTATGGAGATGGTAGATGGATCCTAGAGCACCGCCACGAATAAGCCTTTCGGGATCTTGTCCACTTCTCAATTCCAGGTTCCGTTGGATCCAGATAGAATCATTCTACTCGTCATCCAAGACAAGTTCTCCAGAAGCTCCGCCCACTCAGACACGGTTTGAAGCAAAGCTGGCTTCGCTTCCGTTTTGCGTTCAGAACCTGACCGGCGGAAAGAATGCTTGCTCGCTCTGCCATCTTCTCACCTCGAAGGTCCAGTGCGGCGAGTTTGGAACTCCGAAAGATGATGTTGTGATTCTGATAGGCGAAAGAGACTGGTGCACTTGAAGTGGCTGTAAGTTGATGTTCGATTGATCGTGGCTGCGAGAAGTCGCTAAATACGTGCAGCGCGTGTACACGGACCATAGCCCATGTTTCAGGCGGTGTCTGTAAAGCAAGAAATCTGCCATCCTGTGAGAGTTGAGGCCGCTCGAATTGATGATTGAACGCATACATGAAGGCAGACAGGTGTAGACTGTGCTTGAAGCTGCTGGAGCTTTGACACCAAAAGCAAGGGGCGACTTTTCTCCGCCAAGAGAAATTGGACCATTTTCCACTGTGCCTAGCAAGAGACTGCTGTCCATGCACTCCATCAACACCGCCACGCTCCACGCTGTATAACGAACACCATTCTTCGCGCTTTTCTCCGTGGCCGGACTTCCCCTTGTGAGCAGCAAGCATCAAGCGCTTCGAGACGTGATCCTTGGCGATGAAACTTTCCTGAGTAACTGGCTCACAAGAATCCCGCTGGCGTACTTTCGCTTCCGAGCATTGAAACAGACCAATATCGACATCGGCTACATCAACATTCTGACACATAAAGACAGCAAGCTGCATCTCTGCTGCCAATTCGCCGCTGTCCCTGGCGTTCTGGGTCTTGCAGAAGATCCGATCTTAGCCAGCGATGACGCCGAAAGAAAGAAAGCATTCAATGCTCGACTCACCCATACTCACTCCAGCCCACGAAAAGCCAGCAAAGACCTTTTTGTCCATGCTCCTCCGCGGTGCACTGCCTGCTCCCTTCTGGTTCGAAATTTGCTCCGGCTGTTTGTGCACGCTGCACCCACCAATGAACATCTCCATGTGGACATACGCGCAAGCGCATTTCCGTGGAGAGTGCTACCCCGACTTTTGTAGCGGTTTTTTGTTCGATACAAGATCCTCGACGAATGCTGGTTAGGAGTAATTCCAGAGTGGGAGGACGAACGGCACGGAAATCGCGAGAAGGTTTTGAAGCCACCCATCGGCCCTGGGGCATGAGAAACACTTCTTGGATCCCGAACGATTTGACGAGCCGGCACGCAAAATTCATTGGAGTGTGCCTTACAACCTCAAAGAGCATGGGAGGTCGTGGGATACTTGGAGCGTTAGGGATTTCGTCTGTATGAACTGGAGAGGCTGGATGACATGATACGGAGATGCTGGGTTGAAGAGCACGAGGAGAAGTAGTAAGATTTCGTGTTCCACGAGCTCTACCTCTATGGTATAAGAATCAGCAGCACCAACGAGCAGCTTGCAAATCGACTGGGTGCAGCCGTGCTCGGTACTGGAGGAATTTGCCTGATCGTCGGGGGTCGCTTGCGAGGATGGGACCAAAATCACCGAGAGGCTGAGGTCGTCTGCAGATATTCGTGCGCTTGTGGAAGATGCGCGCTGGATGGAGACATCGACAAGATGTGCGCAGACGAAAGATCCTCGCGCATGACGACAAGCGAACGACGCTTCGAGCAAAATCTGGCATACATTGTATGGCTCCAAATGCAAAAATACGACCTAGACAACTACAGCGCGATCGACGCAGATCTCCAAGGCGAACCTCTCGATGAATTGGAGAAGGAGACTCTGACAATATATGATGAGTGTGTATATGAGCGCTCATCAGCCTTGCTATACACTCACGTCGGCGCGGAGATCAATGCTGTCCTGAGTATGTGAAGGATTGTAGTTATTTCACGCCTACTCTATCAAGCTCATCAGCCTCTTTAATATGTGCTTGTAGGCGGCTCCGCGTACCTACAAAGTACGAGCGAAGCTTCCGCCTTATATACCCTTGCAGGTCGCTAGTCGTTATAGGTCGCTAGTCGTTGTAGGTCGCTAGTCGTTGCAGGTCGCTAGTCGTAGTCGCTGCAGGTCGCAGGTCGCTAGTCGTTGCAGGTCGCTAGTCGTTGTAGGTCGCTAGTCGTTGCAGGTCGCTAGTCGTAGTCGTTGTAGGTCGCTAGTCGTAGTCGTTGCAGGTCGCTAGTCGCTAGTCGTTGCAGGTCGCTAGTCGTTGTAGGTCGCTGGTCGTTGCAGGTCGCTGGTCGTTATAGGTCGCTAGTCGTTGCAGGTCGCTAGTCGTAGTCGTTGCAGGTCCGCTTTGAAGGAAGTAACGTGAAAGGAAGGCACGTGATATGCCCGGAAGCTGGGTTCCTCCGTCCCACCAGTTCGTGTAGAAAGCAGCCAATCAGAGCTTTAGCTTTCTGAAATCCGGGGAGTCACGTGGTGATTTCTTGGGGGATTCGGCCACTGTAGTACCCTTGTTATTGTAAGGCGAGCTTCGCTCGCAATGAGCATGCCATTCGACTGTCTCTGCGCCCTTTACATGTCAAACCCCTATCTCCGTTTCAGCCCCTTCCTGATTGAACGCAAGTCGCAGAGGCAGGCACAACACGCACCCTCTAACACTGATCTTTAACTGATGCACCTGCTTACTGCTCCTTGCGTTAGCACTAGTGCGACCTCTCCTTTCAATCCTATATTGATATCATCGCCCCCTATAGAAAAAGGACTACTAACCTGCTCCGGTATACTATACTAACGATTAAAGCTTAATAGGTTTTACATCGTAGTAAGAGCTAATAGGATACGACCTTTCCTTTTAAGTAAGGAAGAGGAGGGATTAGAGCTAAATTTCGACTTAATAAATATTCTTTCTCCTACTACCCTAGACGTCTTATACGGTACGACTTAGTTTCGAATAGCTATATAAAGTATTAGGACTACTAACGCGAATTAGACTATAACTAGCGACTTTAATTATATCGAGAACTACTAGTAGGACCTAGGTAGCGCCGATTTAGAAAGATCGAAAAAAATAATAATAGAGAAGTCGTAGTAAAGAATAATAAAGAGGACGCAAATTTAGAAGGATTAGTCGCGAATAAGGAGGAGAGCGTAGTACTAGCGGTAAAATGCGAGTATAGAAATTAATTGTTCCGTTTCGGAATTTCGTCGTAAATAGTTTGCTTACGTCTAACGAGATCTTTCGCTTAATATCTCTAGGAACTGCTTAATAATTTGCATCCGGGTAAAGAAGCACCGATAATAGCCTTTATTAGAGCTGAACTCCTCGGAGATTTCGACGGTAAACGCGTAAAAAGCAAATGCTTTTATATACTCGGTAGTCTCGATAGTCCGCTGCGAACACTTAACAGTGTTTTTTACCACTCAGCTTCAATGATTAGCTTGGGGAGCAAGGGAAACGATCTAGGTGGCTTTGCCTAGTCAGTGATCCTCCATGAGAACCAGCTTCATTGGGTGAGGACGTGGGACATCTCTCCACAGCAATTCAGAGTCTTCATGTGTGGCCAAACGGGAGAAAATCGAGCTCGATGGCATTGAATCAGTATTTACACAGAAGCGAACCTGCCTGCTTCGTGTTGATCAAAGATTGCTTCCCGAATCAAACTGGCCTATATAGTCAGCTGTGTTAGCAGCGTGAAAGACAGTGATCTGGATGAGTGAATACAGGGTGCCACACAACCATCAACACTGTGAGTGAGGATGTAAGAGTTCTCTCGACGGTCTTTCCATAATAGCAGTTCTGTGCGCCAAGCAGGAGAAAACAGAGCCCGATGGCATTGAATCAGTATTTACACAGAAGCAGCGAAACCTGCTGCTCTCTTCTCTCAAGAATCGTTCACATATACTTCCTCGCTTCCATCGGTATACTGTCACATTCGTCAGTACAGTTCCCCACTCAATACCACAGAAAGCAAGCCATACCTGAGTGATCACAGCTGCGTGAATGACAGGCTGTCGAATTTCGAGGCGCGCAGACATGGCCACCACGCGAGAGAGCTCCAATGAAGCTTCTGCTTCCACTTCTGGTGCCATTTCTGCCGGGAGTGGCTGCAACTCCAATGCCTCTGGTGATGTTGTTGGACTGGAAGGCGAAACATGTCAGTGAGACACGTTTCTATCGAGAGGTGAATCTGTGCATACCGTTCACGACGTTGCCGTCGGAAGCTTCTGAGCCAGCTCAAGAAGCGAGTAGGGAGGTTGCGAAGATTGATGCGCATGTTGGTGGTATGGCGATGGTATGGATGCGTGAAAGGAACGGAAGCAGTACCTACCATGTTGGACGATATATAGGAATACTGGAGGTGAGGGTGCTATTGTTGCTGTAGTTCCATTGTAGTCTGAGGACGAGGTGTAAGAGGTTCTGCTGTTCATGGCTGTTAGCGCAATGCTTCAACAGTTTCACAATATGACAATGGGCTAGGGTATGAGTGTGTAGAGGAGCTGACGACTGGAGACAATAGAGGTGAAGTTTGCAGAGCAAGACGAGGCGGGAGACCGGAAATGTTGTTTCGCCGAGACACGCACAAGGGGCGAAATCTCGAGCGCTTGCCTGCTCTTTCTTCAACAACATTACGACCATCCACACCATTCCATCAAACACGCAGATTGATGCCAGCAGCGTTCACAGAAGGTCAGTCACGTTGAAAGCACCCTCTCAACATCTCAATTCTAAACAGTGTGCAGATCTTGCCCCTGAGACCAGACCGCTGCCGTGTCTTCCCCTGGTCTCTCCTCAACAGGCACAGCACGTTTAACAAACACAGCAATGGTGATAGACAGGTACCAGCGCATTACAACAGCCAACTTGTATCAATAACTGACGGCTACAACGAGCAGGTCATCGATGGCCGATCCATCAACAACGCCTGGCTGCACCACAGCGGGTTCCCGCGATGAAGCCACGGCAAGAGTCAGCCAGCATGCTGGATGCTCTTCATTGCGTCCACGATACGGATACAGCGCCATCAAAGCCAACGGCGGACTGATCAAATTTGCGCCGAATCGTCTCGCAGCCTTTTCCACCGCCAAAGAACGCCGATTCACCCTCAACAAGCTCCAGTCGGCGCGCGACTGTCAGCAACCGCCACAGAATTTGGCTTCGGACGCAGGTGATCAGGACTCAAGCCCGGCCACGCAAGACGGATCCGTCGGAGAAGACATCCAAGGACACCTCTGCCAAATTGTCAATGGCAAAAGAGCCAAAGGCCAACCGCCACCGGCGCAAAGGCTCGCTGTTTCTTGCACGCATCTTAAAGTACCTCGTATACTTGTTTATTGCGTGGGTCGACAGCTGGAAGGCCAGGTAAGCACTCATTTTCGTCGCTCATGCCATACCCTGGACCATTGCGCCGATGATGGTTGGCTGGCGGGAGCAAACATACATTGCCATATAGCCCCTGACCACCGCTCACTTCGCAAAGTGACGGTGCGTGTGATGGACATGCTCTTCAAGACCCAGCATGAACGGCCCTCACTTCTCATCTTCCCTTCCCCTGCCTTCACACTCATGTACTCTACGAGCTTCTACTAACTTTCTTTCAGACGCACAGTTTTCGTGCAGCAGCTTGCTGCCCGTCTTCGCTCACGCGAACTGAAGGAGTTCTTCCAGCAGTGCTTTGGCCTTCCGGCTCCCGAAGCGCGACGCCTACGGGCGTCACTCACTTCCGACGGTCGTCGGCGCCTTGGGGTAGTCCCTCAATCGTAATCGTGCAGTCTGACCCGATGAGGTCAAATCCGGCTTTCCTGTCCCTGGCTCCACAGCGACATGAACAGCAGACGGCGCTTCGTCCGTAGGACCCTCGCCTCTGGCTGCTTCTTCCAGTGGCAACTCCATTGGCAGTCAGTCATACGACGCCAACATTCTCGCTTGCACGGACAAGATCGTACCCGCGCCATTGACCATGTCATCCGCTTCGCCTCCGAGTACAGTAGGCGGCAGCTGAGAGGTTCAACAAGATTGCCGGGATACGCGCATGGCGCCTCCGATGTATCGTCGCTCGTCACGAGGGGAGCGGAGGTCACAACACAACGAGTCGACTACGAGGAAGGCAAGGGAGAGTGACGGTGTAGCAGATTGAGTGTAGATAAGTGGCAGCAATTTGAATGAAGAGGCGAGCTCCCTCAGCTTCGGCTTCATAATGTTGCTTCTCCTTCCTTCTTTCGTCTTCTCAACACTCACGCTTCCTCTCACGACAAGTTCCCCCTGAGCTCAGTCTACAGCACAACGTCAGGTAGAAACAGGAGATGCAAGCATGGTGATGAGGACAGGGATTCAAGGAAAGCAGACGGCAGAGATTTGGAGATGTGCGGTTTGACGCGTCAAGGCAAATTGTATTGCTTTTTTCGATGAACTCTGTATCTCACTGTTCATGTGCTACTCCAACACTGCTTTTAATACATCTCCGCCACAAAAGTGTCTCGCGAAAAACTCCATGTCGTTGCTCTTTACCCTCAGGATCTCAATCAAAACTTCCTACCCCTTTTCAACCAGGACTCTCTCATCCGTCTGACTTGGAATACTTTGTGATCAGCGCCATCCCAAAGGTGATACGGTTCTTCTGAGCGAATTCAGGACTGTGGATTATAGAGACCGATAATATTCGCTGCTGACGTTGAAACCGTGGTGGTCGGCAGAAGTGCCACGATTGCACTTTCTCTCTCTCTCTTGACGGCGATTCGTGACATCTTCGTCTGACTCTGACGGCTGGATTGGAATCGTGTTCGTGGCATCATGGCCGTCGCCTGTGTTGATTGAACCCCAGATCTAGGTCTCATCGTTTGTCTCTGAAATCGGGTCCAGCACGACGCGTCTTGGGTCGACGGAGAGAACAGGGGTTGTGCATGATATGGACGATGGTAGTCTCCAGAGCCACTCCTCATGAGATCTCCCTGCAATCCCATCCTTGTCGCCATGATCCACCTGCCGTCGATCACAAAATCTTTCTGTTTCTGGTCTTCACCACTTGCGTCTTCCATGTCAGCCTCAGGCTTTCCGTTCCCTTCTTTGCTTGCCAGAACTTCGACTTGATTCTTCAGGCCTCGACTGGATTTCCTGCTGGACTTTCAGAGCGCGGTCGTGTGGGGAAGAAATCTCGAGTATTCGGCTTGCTTTATCTCGCATTTGACCCGTGGATTTCGAAATCTTGTAGTGGACTCTGATGGATGAATCGAGAGGGGCCTCATAGAGCGCACGACTGTTGTGAATCTTTGCGTGCACACACAAGCAAGGATTGGATCCACCTCGTGGAAAACGCTGGCGTCTTCTTGATGGCGGTTTCGACACTGCTTCCATTGGCTGTGATGTGGGAAAGAGTTCGCCGTCGTCGACCACGAAACCGCTTCAGTACTCCGAGTAGTGAATCTCTACGTGCACACACACGCAAAGATTGGATCCCGCTGGCAACACCACCACCGTCGCCTTCGATATGTAGAAGAGTTCGCCGTCGTCACCACGAGACTCCAGGCCCCTGTTCATGAACAAAGACACTGATGTCCCGTAGGAGCTTTTAACCAGGTAGCATCTGGAGAAGTGTCGCTGTGCCCTTTTACAGGCGAGGTTGTGTGAGCTCTTCCTGCAAGCACCTGTTAGCTGCTTCCAAGACGCCGAAGGAAGATTTTCATACCAAGCACTTCGTGCACACCTTGTTCGGGTGTGACACGATCGACGGGCAGCCATTCTCCCAGTACATCACGCAGTGATAGCCTGTGCTGGCCATCACTGGCTCACCCTTCTTCTCGACAGGCTCGCTGCAGCTCGATGGCTGCTGCTGCTCCTGGAAGTCGCGGTTGATGATGCGGTTGCGTGGCTCGGCGTTGATGGTGGAGTTGGAGGGCGATGGTGGTGCCATTGTGTTTGAAGTGAGGGTGTGGTGGAGTGAGTGGTGGTTGTGCTGGTGGTATGCGTGAATGTCTGTGGTGTGTGATGGCGTTCGCTCACGACACACACGTGGACAGAATCTGCCCTCGACATCACTTAACGGCTTTGCAGCACTTGCCTGCTCTGCTTCACTGCTTCGAGCTACGGCTCTCGGGGACTCGTCTTGATCGATTCTACGGGAACTGAAGCTACTTGCAGAAATATAGTGCTTGCTTCATCGTACAGACATCAATGACAGTACAATTGATTGCAGGTCAGCATTTGCTATCCTGTACAGTAATGCCACTTTGCGCAGATAGATGTAAGACATACGACGAATATGATCGACTCTCCAGGTGTCTAGCACAACTTGCTTATAGGATCAGACACGAGTCAAATATTCGGGTAGACCTGTGTTTCATCACCCATGCCTAGGCAGAACAGCTAAGTTATGCCATGGGGTGCATGTGGTGAGCAGCTTGTGTCAAGCAAGGCTGATACTGATACTGATACTCAAGAGCGCGTGGCGGTGCCCAAAGCCTGCTGCCGCAGTGTCAATGGCCGGAAATTTCGCACGCTAGTGGGAGTCCTGCGGGAGTGGCTAGTTCAGCCTTGCGTTGAAGCAGGTGTGGCACTGTTCTCAATGATGAGGCTATGCATGCCTACTTCTGATCAAAATGTCCAACCTACGACCTTTGCAGAGATAAAGGTGATTGAGACACTTCCGCGCTATGCTGAGAGCAAAATTGAGGCCTGCCATTGTCTGATGAAGGTAGGAGAAGGTAGGAAAGGGAGTTCGAGTTCAGGCTATGCCGTGGCCGTGCAAAACTTGCTGCGGCTCTCTGACTGGCCTGAAAAGTCGCACGCTAGTGGGAGTCCTGCGGGAGTGGCTAGTACAGCCTTGCGAGCACCTGAGGCAGCTTTGTTTACATTTTCACAGCAAGCTAAATCTCCACCGCATTGCCAAGTACACAGATCTGCCCACACTGTCGCATCACCACTCGCACGTCCACGATTTGCCTCGCACAAGCAGTACTTGCTCCGCACGCATCACCCTATCCCACAACAATTTCTCCATACCAGCGCCTCGCATATACCATGGACGCCATCACCGACATTGAGCTCATCGAGCGGTCAAGATCACCGTCACACCAGACAACGCGACTTCACAACCATATGGAACAAATGCTTCCGCAATTTCGACATCACCAAGCCAACGGCACCGTGGGTGGGCTCTTTGTGCTGCCGCAAGCACATCTCGAAGCTCTGACGGGGAACGGTGGCAATGTCGAAGAACCCTCCCACAGCATCACATCAATTGGAGCAGAAGAGGTGGCTGAACAGAGCAATGAAGCTTCCACGAAGATGGTTGGACTGTGGGCTCGAGTTTCGAATGCGTTGCGGAAAATGTGTTGCATGTGATGGAGCTGAGCGAAACGGTCGAAAGTTGATACTGCTTGCGCTTCACATCCGCATGCCATCTCCTTCAGCAACTGGCCCTCACGCGCATCTACTCTTTCGGCGCCAGACCAAGCATGCCTTTCCAGACCAGTCTGCTCCTGCTTCCCAATCCGGCTTAGCGCAATTGTAGATGAATGTCTAGAGATGAAGTGAAGTATCGACAAGCTTTTCGGCGTCTCGGTTCAAAGATGCGCCCTCCTTTGTCCCGAAGTGCTGGGAGGCAATTTTGCCGACAACACCTCCTCATCCCGAGTGCAAATATGGAGCACTCTCCTCGCCTGATGGCAGGACTTCGGCGTTTGGATGGAAGCCGAAGCCGCTCGCTGGGATGGAATGCATACGTTGACTTTACGGAAGCTCGTCCGACAGCAACAACCACGGAGTCACGACCGGTTTGCAGAACTTTGTTTGAAAGACGACGCCGACCAAGATGACGGGATTCAGCAGAGCGAAGGAGGACCGGCCGACGCCGCCGGAGGTCTACAATTGGAGAGTGTACGCCACGGCTGTCATCATCGCGCTCGGCGTCCTCGCATATGGCTATGACAGTGCATTCATCGGCACCACAATTACTCTGCCCAGCTTTAAACGAGACTTCGGCCTGAGCACCATGAGCAAGCGCGAGAAGAATGCCGTGTCGAGCAATCTCACCAGCATCTACAGCGCCGGCGGCTTCTTCGGAGCGCTCTTCATGTATCCTGCGCTGGAACTGCTCGGCAGAAAGAAGACCTTGATCATCGCAGATGTCATCTTCATCGTGGGAGCGGTGCTGACAGTCGGACCAGTGCATCTGGGGTCAATGTATGCTGGCAGACTTCTGACCGGACTTGGCGTCGGTGCGATCGCGGCAGTATGTCCAATCTACGTCTCCGAAATTTCTCCTCCAGCCATTCGTGGCAGGTTGACTGGCTTCTTCGAATCTTTCTATCAAGTCGGAGCCGTGGTCGGCTTTTGGATTAATTATGGCCTCGTGCATTCCTACGACACGCAGAGCACGTCTGCTTGGAGGATACCGATGGGCGTGCAGCTGATTCCAGCGGGACTTCTTGCGATCTGTATACCATTCCTGAAGGAGAGTCCCGTATGGCTTATCAAGCGTGGCCGGACAGCTGAGGCCATCAAAAGCTACAGCTTCCTTCGAATGCTCCCAGAGGATCACCCTTATATTGCGGAAGATGTGATGTTCGTGCGGAGCCAGATATCCGAAGAGAGAACAGCTTCACATGCAGAGAATTCCAGCTTCCTCGCCGTCACGAAAGCCGCACTCCGAGAGGGGTGCTTGCCAGGAATGAGGAACCGCTTCCTGCTTGTATTCCTAATGTTCATGTGGCAAGCTTGGTCTGGAGCAGCTGCAATCAACTACTATTCTCCGACAATCTTCACCTCAGTCGGGTTATCGGACTACACTCTTTGGACCGGTGTATATGGCATCATCAAGGCGACAGGAAGCGTGATCTTCTTCACCTTCTTCATCGACAAATTCGGCAGGAAATGGCCATGGATCGTATCCAGCATCTGCTGCGCCTTGTGCCAGTACTACCTCGCCGGATACATCGCCCTCGCAGATCCCAGCTCTGACAGCCCACACTCTGCCTCGACTGTTGCGGGCGGCAAGGCTGCGATCGCCGCTATCATGATCTTCGGTGCGACCTGGTCTTTTGGAGCAAATGGGCTGCCGTGGATTATATCTTCCGAGATCTTCCCATCAAGTATTCGCTCTATTAGCGGCCCCTTCGCCGGAATGTCCGTCTGGCTGTGGACGTATGTCGTGACGAAAGCTTTGCCAAGCATGTATACCAGCATGGATTACGGCGTGTACATCTTCTTCGCAAGTTGTCTCATCTTGGCTGCGATATACGCTTTCTTTTTCATCCACGAAACCAAAGGGCTCCGGCTTGACGAGATGGACAGGATTTTTGGATTTGCGCGGAGTGCTGCGAGCTCTGCTGTGGAGGACAAGCTTGGGAGAGAGAGTGTTGAGGCCGGCAAGGGCGACGTTGCGACTACGGTTGAGAGAGTGTGAAGCATGTCGGCCGGAGACTTCGATGGACTATGCAGACCTCGCAGGTATCCCCTGAAGCTTCTCGTTCGCAAATGCTTCACAATAGAGCACTTCACAATACTTCTCATGCTTCCAGTCTGTGCATTCAATAGTCCAAGAGCCATAACCTAAGCATGTGCGACGTTCGATACTCTTCGACAGTGAGCAAGATTTGTGGAGACGAGGCTGGTGTTGCCAATCGACAATGCAGTCCAAGCACGCGAAACAATCCCGGCGTCTCAGCGCACGGCCTGATAAGACCTGGTTGCCATGTCGATCAAGGCTGAGCTGGTAATTGACGCCACGGGTGAAGCACACTCTCGACTTTAAAAGCCTCTGCTCCAACCTTTCAGAACATTCGAAGTATCAATCAACCTCAAATCACCACACCATAGCAACCTAACCAGCCAAGTCCAAGTAAAAGTCGAGAGGCCCAACGAACCATCTCCCCCTTCGCACAGCTACACCCACCCACCTTTCCTTCCTCCCGCTCAAGCGCGAGTCAACCAGAACTTCTCGAAGACCCACACTACCCTCGAACCTCCCCCAGCCTTCAAGAATGTCCTACATGCCAATTCCCCAAGGCACCGAGATCATCTACACCATGGACGACGGAGTCACCTACCAGGGAATTCTGTCCGCAGGTGAGCGAACCCTGCACCGCTGCATGGCATAGCTAATGATGAACTCGCATAGACTTCTATGGCCTCGACAACACGGGTGTCGGCCATCTCACGCTCGATCCTGGATGGCGACGTACTCTCCTTCATCCTCGTGGGGCAGTAGCTCGACGTCGTTCCGCCGCCATCCCGATTACGGTTGAGTACCGTCGTGGGGATCGTGTGTATTATATGTCGACGGATAAGTGAGTGCGGCATGGATCTGGCTTTGGGGTGAAAGCAGGGAATACTGCGGATACATTAAGTTACACTTCATGAAACGACACACATTGGTTTGCGCTTCCGGTGCTGGAGTTGGGTTTGAGCACACGAGGGCGAAACCGGCGTTATGCAATGGAAATATGACAGGAGGGAACGCTGGTTGGGGGTCAAGGTGGAGGACATGAAGACCTCACTTGCTGTTCATACCTTCTATGAAGCAGCTCTTTGCAGCGACTTTGGGCTTTGCTGCGCAATTCCTTCATCCTTCAAAGTAGTCATGCAAAACATCGTGAAAACAGGTCGTGTGAAGCCAGTTGCTGACGGGATAAGAATGCTGTTCTTCACTCTCTGGTTGACTTCAAATACAGTACCGTATCCAAAGTATTGGCAGGCTCCAGCATCACGATCGATGATCACAATAACTGATGCCCTCCTCTTGCGACCTCTACAGGCCCATCTTGCCCTCCATTTCCTCTTGTGTCTCCGTACTGCGAACTGTACGAGCCAGGTGCAGAATATGGCTGGCTCTGGTATTGTGGCTGGCTGGTTTGGTATTGTGGGATACCGTGTGAGTGACCAGGAGAAGGAGCAGCTAAGAAGGAAGATGTTAGGATGGTGCTTGCGAGCGTGATAGTGTCAATGGATAAGTACTTACGTGATTGAATTGGAGCACCTGCTCCGGCCTTGTGGCTGGCTGGTTTGGTATTGAGGGATACCGTGTGAGTGACCAGGAGACGGAGCAGCTAAGAAGATGTTAGGATGGTGCTTGCAAGCATGCTGGTGTCATTGGTACTGACCTGATTGAATTGGAGCACCTGCTCCAGACCTCGCTGGGAGCTGTGCCGGCACAGCTCCGGTGGGAGGTTGGGGAAGCCACCTGAAGTGATGGTCAGTACGTTCTGTGAGAGACGAGAAAAAGTGATGTCTTACCCCTGGCCCCCTCCTCCCCCTCCTCCCCCGGCTGGAGGCTTCCGCTGTGTCTCGTTAGCTCAGTTCGTGAGAGAATGTAGGCGTTGATGAATTGCGACGCTCTCGGCAGCAGTCATCGGCGCAATGGTCCAGTGGCAAGGCGCACCGACAATGTGCTAGATGAGACTTACCCGACAAGAAGGGCGGTCGTCGTCATACATCGCTGAGTACATAAGTACCCGGGGATGTATGAACGAAAACCGTGACCCATTGTGCTGATGGATGCTGTTCATTTTTGCTGTTTTGCTGGTCAGTCATGTTGGAGGAGTATAATGGCACGTCGACTGACCTTTTGTGTTGAATGAATGCAGATATGGTGGTGGATTGCGGCGATGGATGGATTGTGTTGTGGAAGAGAAAGCGGAAGAAAGAGTCACGAAGAAGAATCTTCTTGTGGCCGTGAGCTTACTAGTGGCTTGGCAAGCGGTTTCAGGGGCAACAATATTGCTCCGGAACATCAACAAACTGCTGCAAGCATGAGCGTCTCCAAGAGTTCAAGTCCATTTATTTCATGTGCCAACTTTTGAAATCGTCAGCGTACGTCAGCCAAGGCGTAATACAATGTTGTAAGGCGAGCATTAACAGTCCTCTTGACAACAGACAACGCCTCGTAGTGCACTTTCTTGCTGCCACACCGTCCGATTAGGGCCATTGAGAGGTGGTTGAGTGGGATCCGCAACCTACTTCGTGCTCATATAAAGAGCTGAGATCTGCGTTGGAGAAGGAAGAAAGAATGGTCGTTTTGCTGCGACTGTTGCCACGAATCTTCAGTGAAGCTGTCCTTTCCATACTCAATCAATTCCTCGCTTACTATGCGGCTTCAACGGTCCCACCGCAGGTTTCGTTGGCTTCTGATTGTTCGATGCTGTTCTGCCTTCGATCAATTGCTTCCGCCACAGGTTCACCACTGCACCCATCACATCCACCCCCGACACAGCACAATGAACACACATCTCGAACCGTCAGAAGTGCTCTTGTACCAATCTCACCATCCCATCAGCCTCGCCGAAGCCGCCATCGCTTCATTTGACACAAAGACACCACGCAGTGCGCAGATGGCCCAGCAGCTCCCAGCATGGTTCTTGAAATTCCAGAGACAAGTCGACCAAAAAGGTGAACACACAACGGAGCTTACTACGCAGCTGATGAGAGAAGGATGGGCGCTCGTCTCCAAAACCTTTTTCCTGGACTCTGTGAGTGACGTCCCGGTTTCTTGGGACTCGAATCTTCTGTCTAGAAGCGGCAGCCGGGGAGAGACAAGTGGCGTGGGCCAAGCCGTGATGGTGAAGCTCTACCCATACAAGACTGCCCGGATGCTTCTCAATACCATGGCACATGAAGCCGCGCACGCTTTCATCTCCATGTACAGCTGCCACAACGAGGTCTGCGGAGACGCTGCGTGTGTGAAGGAGAAGGGGGTTAGCATGGGAGTGAAGGGACATGGGCTCGCTTGGAACATGTTGGCAATGGCAATTGAGCGTGCGAGTGAAGTCTTCCTTGACTTTCGGCTGGATCTGGGACGAGCAAGCTCTTCGAGGGACGAGCATGAGCTTCTGGACAGAGATCATGCGGTGGAAGCGTTGTTTGGTGGAGTAGATCCTCGTCGCGACATCCCTCACCCGAACCACTGAATGAAAAGGGAAAATCTCTAGACTCTGCTATCGAGCAGAGTCTATGCCGCCCGCGTCTCCGCCTGTTCGTTTCGTTTGCGTTTCCTGGCTTTGACCAAAATACCGAGGAGGGTGCTCAGACGAGGCTATGTGATCACCTACGAATGTTGTTCATCATCATTTTGAATTGACTTCCCGATCGCGCTGATACGGCTCTTTCCTTAAGAGCTCAGAAGAAGCTTCATTGCGGAATGCAAAACTGAATGGAACTGTAGTTGGTACATATCTGGAAGTCACCCGAGCTCTCTAGCCACATCAACTCCACTATCCAAGCCCTCGCCGTGCTCCTCATATCCCACTGGCTGCATAGCAAACGAATACTCTACATTGAAGGAACTCTTGGACATGGACAAAGACCGTTGATGTACTTCAGGCGTTCCAATAAGGCTGAATATGCCAAGCCCCACAGCTGCCTTCCAGCAGGATCGATTTGCATACAGCCACTCCCAACTCGGCTGGTGGCAAGAAGACACGCGCGGAACTCCAGGACTCAGATTGAGAAGAGCATGATTCAGCAGGACATATTTGGCAAAGAAAACGGGAAAAGACGAAGGAGTACGCAAAGAATGGGCACGGCTGTCCTGGCACGCCAGCCTTCGTGCCGATGGACGGGGGTGCTGTTACGGCAGGTATGGCACGGCAGGCACGCCAGACTGATACATACTTCCCAGTACCGAAGATACTTACACAATACCATACCATTGCACCACTACTGATTCGTCCCTCGCGTGACAATTGGTAGCTTCGCGTCGGACCGTGATGCTGCGTGCAATCAAAGGCTGACCAGACCTTTCGTAGCATAGTTTTGACCCATTGAAAGAAATTTCATCATGGTTTGGCATTGTCAGACGAAAAGACTGTCAGATGGAATCAGCAGTTTCGAAGACCTCTCTGGGACCTGATTCCCTCGTTGAGCTCTGATATAGCGAGATGAGGACCGATAGGAGAACTGTGTTAGTCTCAACGAAAAGTCCACCTCCACGAAATCTCGACTAGAGAGCTACGTTTCTAGAGTCGATGGATCTGACAGGCCTTGGAATCGACAGTGACTTGGAAGTTGAACCCTCAATTGTTCTGGGTGCTTCCTCACGCCACTTTCTCCGCGTGCCTTCTTCGTATGCTGTGTACTTCGAATTAGACGCCGTCGATCAACCAGCTCCTGTTCGGTGAGATTATTGCTATAGGGGAGTGGATCGTAGGACTTAATCCTTATGGCTTGCGTTCCAACAATCGGATTGAGGGGACTGACTCAAATGCATCAGAAGCTGGCAGGAAGCAGGGGGCTGAGATTGAAAGTAACTCGGAGGATCTCGTGACTCTCGAAAGGCAGATTACATTTCAGAAGTCTCTGGGCAGCCTCTGATGGATCTCGTTGTTATGAGGTCTTCAATAGCTTCAATTTCAAAGACATTAGGAAGCAACAGTGTCGCAGAGTCCAGGTAAGCTGCTCATAGAAGCACATCTTGTACGCAACTCTTGCAACGTCGGGGGGCATTTGACAATCTCGGATGTCGAAAAGATGCAGAAAGTATGAGTACGGACTTGGGGACATTGTTGCCTCATTTGTGCTTCTGAACTGATATGAATCATTGCCGCCAGTGCCTGCCCACGCGAAGTTTACAGCTGGTGCGATTTCAATAGGTGGTCGTGTCCACTGATCCCTTGTTTGCCAATTGATGATCGTAGGTAGTGGCGGGTTCATTGGTACCGGAATTGGAGTCAGTTGATGATTCCCGCATGAACCACTGCTGCTCAGTCAGGGTGCTACAATAATCGCATCGCACCACAGGTTCACGTGTGTTCTCCACGTGAGCTACGTTTGCGTCGCACCAGGTCGGGAAATTCAGGTGACCAGTCGTAGAGCTGTTTATGAAACGGCAGATAGCAGCCACCAAATTGTCAATGTGCGTGGAAGGCACCTGTTCACTTCCGGTTGGTGTCTATCCATAGGTGAAGTCCACTCCACCTGGCTTCAAGATAATGAGTTGCTTTGCGTACCGCACGTAGGCGTACAGCTCGTCGACCGTTCCAGCAAAATTCTGGCGGTACTGTGTTCGGGGGCGGTAGCTGCTAGATCTGAGGAGCACTCCAGTGGGCCAATGTAGTAAATTTGTTTCTTTGGGCCCATCTGCGAGTCATCAAAACGGATAGGAGGCATTTTCTGTCCATAAGAAAGGCCTTCGTTGAGGTAATGCATATGGGATTCCTCGCGGAACACCTGAAATCTCACACCAGCACTATGCCGTCGCTCGCATGTATTGGCTTCCAAAATCCACCGTCCCCATGCAGGACGTGTCTGTGAGACGGCTTGCATACCAGACTTGAATCTGCAGAGCGAATAGCTGAACGAAAGGGTCTGGCTCAGTAACCGATCGTGCCTTGGAATCATCTCTTTCAAAATATCAGTCCATCCGAGCCTGACTTGTCCTCCGGCACCCCAGAGATGAGAGCAATGCGGAAATGGAGATGACTCTAGGTGCTGTGAAAGGGTGGCCGACAAAAGGGATCTAGCTTAGTCACTGATTCTCCCTTGCAATCGTCTCTTTCAAAGCATCAGTTCATCTGAGCCTGACCTGTCCTCCGACACCCCAGAGATGGGAGCGACGCGGAAATGAGAGGACTCCAGGTGCTGCGAAAGCGTGGCTGACAAAAATCATCTGGCTTGCTCACTGATCTTGCCTTGCAATCGGTTCTTTCAAAGCATCGGTCCACATGAGCCTGGCTTGACCTCCGATACCCTAGAGATGGAAGCCATGCGGGAATCGAGATGAGTCCAGGTGTTTCGAAAGCTTCCTTCACATAGTCTGGCTTCCACGACGCTCCAGACCCCGACATCGTTGGTCTGTACCCTCGGTGCCTCGGTGGACTCGGGTTGGTGCTACCGTTTGTTATGAGGTGGATAGATGATGTTCTCATTAAGTTCTCAAGGAAGGCTAAGTACATAATGACTGGGGACCCTTTCCACCTTCCCCGTTGCCTTCCTTAATGCCTTCCTTAACAAATGCCGCTTTTTCCAAAAAGGCTCCGTGTCCCACGGTCGTATCATAATCTCATATTCTCAGTCGTAATCTTATGCTCTCAATGTTCCTTTGGGGTTTCACTCGAGACTATCGTCCGAACTAGAAAAGCGGGAGCGAAAGCGAGAGGCGTCGAACTCCTAAGCTATACCCTCCGGAGTGTTGACCGCTACGAAGGAGCCCTTGGTGTTCCCGACTGTTCCCTCGTTGCTATTAAAGTCCGTAAAGGTTGGAGCAGAGTTCTCAGCGTTCCCGGCCGTTCCCTCGCGCATTGGGGTAGATAAACCCGTCTTTAGTACCTTTCCGATCGCGATAGGGTTGCGATTGCCGAAGGCGGGTTCTAGACGGAGGTACCCGAGCTCGTCGTCGCTCTCCTCCTTTACTCTCTGCTTGCTGCTCTTCTTCTTAGAGGGCGGCGGCGGCACATCCACCTTCATAACTGCATAGCCTCGCTTCTGAAGAATGTCGTTCAAGTTAGGCAAAGCTCCGGCTTTCCTCTTACGATTATGGCTAATGTTACCGAGCAGATCCTAAGTCCCATACAAGCGTGGCGAGCACGGTGAGGACGTCTCCTACCGCGACTACGGTGAGGAGTACTAGAAGACGGGCAAGCGACCTGCTAGCGAGCACGTCGGAGCAACAAAGCACTATAAGATCGATCTGACTACCTGTGGCGAAGTCCAATTCTTGTGGATAGCAGCAACAGGCCGACTCTCGATAGTGCGCTTGCCTCTACCAGACTCCTAGCTCGAGGACTACACGATTTGGCTGCTGCTTATCGGCATGAACCTTGGCGCCTGGTCGGCTACGCAGCTTCACAAGTGGTACGAGTCCTCTCTGAATTCCAGTGGTCTGCCCTACCTACACCGTCGCAACCTGGGTCGCCCGGCCGTCACCTAGGACCTCGTCGCCCACACTTGGCGGTATGTTACCGTTCGCAACGCCTACACGCTTCGCGGCGAGGGTCACACGGCGGCCCTCTGCACCAACGAGGCGCTGTCGGACACGAAGGCCACGAATGCGTCGCGCACCATAACGCTGGCGTCGCTGACTCCGGCCTCGGCAAGGAAAGCCCTGAGGTCTCTATTGTAATCGTCGACGTAGCGGTGGTCTTACTTCTTAGTCTTCCACAACTTGTGGGCCTCCTGGGTGCTAGTGATAGCATCGAAGACTTTGTCCTGTAGCAGAGAGAGAGACGCGCTCATAAGCACATGTGTAGTAGCATGTATCTCCTCACATCTTGAGCGCTTCTTCAGAGATATGAGCGGTTGCGAGAGCTGTCCGCGATCTGTTGAGCTCAGAAAGCTTGAAAACACCGAGAAACCCCTGTACAGAGACAAATATGTTAGCATCGCACAGAAGATCACATAGCTAACGCTCTCAATACACTCTGCACCTCTACGAGACCGGTCTGCTCTCGAGTAGCGTAGTGAAGCATGCAATTCGGAGGCGAAAACGATCACTGCAGTTACTACCCTAAAATTCCATCACTCCTCCTTTTCTCAGCACTTCACTCATCTCCTGACGGTACTCCACCGAATCTCGACCTCGCTGCACCATCTCCACACGAACTTCCTGCGTCCACAAAACTTTCAACCGCTTCACAGCGTCAACAAGCTGTCCCAACTTTACACCCATATCCTTTTCTTCCTCGAACACAACCTCTTCCTTCCACCGCGTGGCCCATGGCGCCTTTCCAAAAGATACGATGACGGAGGGAGCATGCGGCTGACAAATGATCTGATACATCTTGGCGTTGTGGGTCGCTTCAAGGTCCCAGATCCTTCCAGCTTGGGCGTAAAAGAAGTTCGGACAGCCTTGCTTTGCCTCGGAGATTTTTTGATGGAGGGTTGGATGGAGGATGGTCTCGAACCGGCCGAAATAGCGATAGAGGCTGGTTTGGTGGTCTTCAAAGGCTTGGTTGAGGTGGAGTGGCTTTTTGAAGAAGTGTACGCGGAGGCGGAGGAGTTTGTCTTGGTCGATGGTTGACTTGAAGGTTTTGTTGACGCGGTAGGCTTGCTTTAACTCTTTGGGAGTGAGGTAGATGAGGATCATGGAGAGCAGCTCGGCCACGTCGAAGGCTCTGGAGGCGTGGGTCGACATGGTCAGGGTGATGGTGAGCGGTTTGTGGCGTGGCGGTATGTAGTTGTAGCGGCCGTGGCTCTGTTCTTAGTCGAATGTCTTGGGTCTGCGCTGAGAGTCCGTAGTTGTATTCGTGCGGCGTGAGAAGAATTTGCCACCTGGACTGTCAGGTCAGGGTCCAGAACGGCGCAACACAAGCGGACTTTCCAGGGGCTGCCGCCTCGAAGCCTCGTCCAACATACACCTCAACAGTAAGAATCATGCAGATCATCACCAAGACGTACTCTACGTCGTCTGCGGTCCAAAACGCACCGCATCGCAGGTAAGTTGATAGGTTCTTCGTACGGGGCCGCGATTCTAACGGCATCCAGAACCACCTCGATACTCCGACCCAAGATCGCGACACCACAAAAGCTCAAGAAGACAAGAAAGCCCCGTCGTGTACCATCTCCCGCCATGAACGCTCAACCAGGTCCCACCGCGGCGGCACGCGTCTTCGACACACCAGAGCTTGCCGAGATGATCTTCCTCCATCTTCCGCTCAAGAATCTCTGCGTCGCGATGCAAATCAACAAGAAATCATACCAGATCATCAACAACCCCAGTTCGAAGGAGATGCGACAGAATCGCTACCTGGACGCCGTCCCAAACGACACCACCACCTTCCTCGACCCTAACACTGAGAAAGTCTTCAAGCCTACCTGCAAAGATTGGATTGCGTTTCATCCTTTTCTCGAGCGTCTCTTCCACAGAAGCAGCGTCAGTATTCGAGAACTCGCCGAGACTTTCGTTCCAGAATCGGTTCAAGAGCAGCTTATCGTTCAGCCTTACCAACGTAACATGTACTTCTACTCCTACGATCCCCGTGATTACTGGCCTGGCCGCGGATCATGGTGCACTATGGCTCAGGGTAAGAGTGGCGGGAAGATCAAGACGCTTGTGAAGCACGCGAAGAAGCACGTCGAGATGCGAGGTGATGCAGCTGATAATCTGGTGATGCTGCACTTTGATCCGCCATGGCTCGGGGTCGCTGGAGGATTGAATCGCTGGGCATATGATCGAGAAATCTCCTGAGGGAAGGAAGGGATCGAGGCTATGAGTCGCCGTTGGTTACGTGCTGTATGAAATCATTGCTGTGAGCGAGTGGTTTCGCTTTGGGATGTGAGCACACCATTGGACGTCTCCTGACTCTTTGAAGCGGCTTCTCAATGCGCTACAAAGGGCGAAAGGGATGGAAGACGCGTCAAGTAGTTTTACAAGGAATGTCATTGTCTACGAAAAGGAGCGAATACGGTCAGTTATACTCCAGAACGCCACCCGTATGACCACAGGCCCCTCATGCATCCGCGTCAAGAACTATTAGTAGCCCTTCTTATCATCGTTGTGCCCATCTTTGTCGTTATTCTGTGGACCAGAAAGCTTGTCATCATCCTTGTAGCCATTCTGCTGGTGTGGATCGACTTGGGTCCCACTGTTCTTGCTGTCATCGCTATAGCCGTTGTTGTTGATCTGAGGATCGACTTGTGTACCGCCAGTCTTGGGATCGGTCTGCTTGCCATCATAGCCATTTCCGTCATTTTTGTGTGGGTTGACTTGTGTTCCGCCATTCTTCTTGTCGTCATAGCCATTCCTCGTTGTTGGATCCGATTTATTCCCATCATAGCCGTTCCCGTCGGTCTTCTTAGGGTCATGTTGATTCTTGTGAGGACTGGTCTGATGGCTATCATTCTCCTTGGGATCCCACTCGTAGTCGTTGCTACCGTTCTGGTTCGGGCTTGACTTCGTGTCATCGTTCTTCTTGCCACCATGGCCATCACCCTTGTTCTGACCGTAGTTGTATTGCTGCTTTGGCGGATCGTACTTCCCACCCAAAGCTTTGCCCCATTTGATGCTGTCGAATTCAAAGAGGCCGTCTTTTGCCTGAATCTTCCTGCCCTTGCGCTGCATTGTGAGGACAGAAACGTCTCGTACCGGGTCATCGCAGCCATTGACACGGCCGATGTTGCGAACCCAGACGAGGGTGTTGCAGTCCAGATAGTAGCCATAGGTTGACTGATCGTAGACCTTTGGAATGTTCTTGTCGAGATCGTACACAAAGTCGTTCAAGGAGTTATAGTAAGGATCGTCAGAAAGCTGTCGAATGTCAGTGAATAATCGGCTTATAGGCTCTGGAACATACCTTGAAGCCACGAGATGACTTGATCGAGTTGGACTTGCCCTTGAAGTCATCGGTGTACAGCGTCTTGGCAAGCTTTTTCCAGTTGCCTTTGCGGTTCCACATCGCAATATTGTTGTTGATCCACTGCTTTGCCTCCCATCTCCTGATACATTTCCCGTAGTCGTCGCGTTCGAAAAGGCCAGAAGGGATGGCCGTGGCCAGTGAACCAAGTCCCACCAAAGATGTAATGAGAGTGAGCTTCATGGTTGCAGAGAGGGACCTGTTGGAACGAGTGTGGTGAATTAGACGTTGTAAACGAGTGTGAATGTGATGATGCTTTACTGCTGAGACCTTTAGATCTTATATGATAGATACTCCGAGAAGGAAGTGATGTCCAGATTCTCGCCCTCGGAGGCATCACCTTGGCAGATGCCAATTCCGACGAGTTTCTTGGCAAGATATGTTTGAGATATTCGTGACAATCTCCACGATTCTGCCACGATAGCAGTGTTCTCACTTCAGAGACTGTCTTTGCACCACAAAGCTTTGTCCAGGTTTCAGGTTTCATCGGAAACTTATCGCCAAAAGAGCTAAGCGGCCCTGGCTGCAGGTGTCTCAGCCTTGCTTGACGCCACCTCGCATTCTTGTGCAACGACTGCGGAGTACATTGGGGTACTGCATCGATAGAAAGTCTTGGCGATGAATAAGAATTCTAGGCCTATGTGACCATGTGTGACGTCCACAGAGCCTTCGCCTCCAAGGTCGTAGATTCGTTCCGACTGCGTGGCGGATGAAGTCAGCGGTATCGAGAATTGCGGATTTGGTAATCGGTTGAATCAATCCCCAGGCAGCAGATCGTAGGTGGAACTGCTCTTTTTGCTACCAGATGCCTGAGGGGCAGTACATCAGGTCTGCGTCGGGATAGTGATGGTATGAAGAATGCGCCTGTTCACCTAATCAATTTTCAATTGCTTGCTCTGTGATGCGCAATGATTCCATCATTCTACCTCGAACACCAAGAACACTTCTCATTGCTTTCCTAGACCGCTGATTATACCGCAGCGTCGCAGAATGTTGGCGGAAGTCGTCACAAAGTAAAAGGCCTTTGCGGCATCAATGGATGCTTTCTGATGAGGGCGGTAGGCCCATACTGGACCTTGGATGAGTTGTGTTGGGGTGATGATCGAGTAATTTAGTCGAAAGCGTGGACCGTCCGAGGCAAATGCAGAATGTGTAGTCGAGAGGAGACATTGATCCTAGAAAGGGGCGAGAACGCGGCCAGTCTTGTGGGCAGTGCGCCGTCTTTATGCGTCAGGTACGAAGATTGGATGATTGAACAGGCTGTGGACTCGCTCGCTCGGAGATCTGCTGACGGCCGAGTTGTGAGCTGGAGTCTGGAGTCTGGAGTTGCAGGTGGACAGACCAGATTCTAACCGGCGTGGCAGCTCTACACATCGGTATGCGTAGGAGGTCTTGCTTGACGGTGTCATTGGCAAGTGGCTATAGCCTGGGGAAGAGATGATTGTTGCTTCTGTATAGCAAGAAAACCCAGACGATGAAGCTGACTGCATTCCCAGCAGGCAGTGTGAAGCCTCGCTATCACATCCCTGGCTCTGTGTACTCTGGAGCACCTTGGCAAGACGGAATAGCTCATCACGCTGCTCATCCTGAGCACGCTTAGTCAGGCAGAAGGCCCGTGCTCTTTCGCAAGATCTATAAGGCTCTTCTCTTCGCTCAAGCTTTCTCTTCTTTTCTTCACACGATTGACTGTACACCGTAAGCACAACTACCATCCACACATAACAAGACATTGCTAATCATCCCTTCCAGTGCTGACCAGCCGGTGTTTACAGGAAATCAAACAGGTGGCCGGCGCCCGCGCAGGCCACCAACTCCTTGCGGCCTTTCTGTGCCCTTGGGAATTTTTGGAAACCACACACACACCTTTTTCATCAACGTTGTCGCTGCTGCGATGACTTGGAGAAGAAACTCTTGTCCACCTTGCCCTTCCAAATTGCGACAGATCTTACGGTGAGTTCTGTGGTGTGGACACGTCTGGCGTCAGAAGCGGCATGTCAACAAAGGACGGCGAGATCACGGCTGCAGCTGACGGTCGCGCGCATCTACTTGAACACTCGCGCAGGCCTTAATGTCTTTAGTCTCTTGCAAAGCAGGCGACGAGCAGAAGGCAGCGTCACCGACCTTCATACCACGGCGAGGCGGAGGCGGCGAGCTTGCCAACTCCAACAGCCGCGAATACTTCTCGTTCAGAGCTCCGAGTGCGCTCGCGGTAGCGGCATTCAAACGCGAAACTCATACCACTACACTCTATCTGCCCCTGACAGAGTTGCTGCGAGCCCGCTCACCGTGCCCCTGTTGCCAGCATCGAACAGGTTCTGCGACTCAATACACAAACAGCGACAGCTCCTTTCCATGGCGGCTCCCTCCGGCCTTAGCTTGTTGAGCGAACAAGACTGACGATGATGACATGTAGCCATCTCTCGCACGTTTGATGGATACAGGGGTCTGAGTTGGCTGACGCGACGATATCTCCATCTGATGAGACCTTTGACGGACGACGGACGACTAGTGTCCGAACAACCATCGCCACCCAATGCACACACTTGTCTCACGCTCGTCACGCCGAAGAGTCCCTTCGTCGCCCTCGAATCGCAACACCTCTTAAGGCGCGACATCACACAACACACCAGAAACGATAGCATTGTCGGCTTCGAAGTGACCATCGCTCAACAGAGCAGTAATCACCACTCCCCACCTGAGAGATCTGAACTCCAACGCTGTGACCAGAGTCGCCGAAGCAAGTAACATCGTATCATCTTCAGACCGCCCGTATTGACCACCCCTGCGGCCTCACGAGCCTCGAAGGAGACCTCAAATCGTTCTTGGGGACTCGGCTACTGGCGAAAGAAACTCGGAGAATAATGCGGGCATTGGAAGAACTTGGGAACAGGAGGATATGTGCGCATATCGAACAATGATCTCGAACCGTACATGCCACGATGAGCCAGGGAAAAGATATTTGAACCGCGGATGGATACTGCCCGGTCACAGCTTGAGGACAAGGCAAGGGGAACAAGCGCAAGAGATGGCCGGAATGAATATGTGATGCTGAAAGAACCCCGTTGGGCAATGGAAGAATTCGATGGAAGAGCCATATTTGAAGCGTACAGGATCTCGATCCGTTATTGCTGTTGACCTCTCGAACGCATAGCGGTAACTGAAGCTCGGTGAAGCCGCTTGCGACGCTTTTACAAGAGCACGTACAAAGCTTTCAAGATGTTGATCTGGTGACTATTCGAATAGAAACCGAGTTCAGTACGTCAAGCTCGATAACACCGCTCAGTCCCAAGGAGCTCACGCGTGGCTTCTCTCCAGAGAGCACGTGCGAAGCCTTCGAGACCTACCTACACCCGACGAAGCTATCGACTAGCGGACGCGGTACGTAAAACCACGTATAAGGCCTTTTCTAAGGAATCTGTTACTCGAACTCGATTGAACGGGCATAGACGGACCCCCTGCGGCCTGGTTGTGGTCTTTCACCGTGAAGAGCGTGTAATACGTAGAGCTACTACTCAAAGCTACTCGCGAGGCTGTTATCGAAGAATTGGGTATTCGAGCACCATCGAAAGGACAGCATGCTCTGGAAAGCAGCGTCTCCATCGTAACGGTTTGTCAGTGTTGACTTACCGGCTCGGGCCCGCTGGTTAGCAGAAGCGAACATATTTTGCCATACAGTCGCTTGCTTCTCGCATTGGGAGACACATTTGTCTACCTTGGTGTGCCTGTGCGGGTCGTCGATATTCATGATTTACAGCGCACCTACCATGGGCCTACATCACTTTCCATGCACGGCTGTTGAGTGTCGGTTTGACGTGTCACCAATGGCGGGGCTTGGCAAAGTCATCTGCAGGCTTTATAACAAGTTCTAGGTCAATGCCAGCAGTGCTCCAGCTATAGATGAGGATTTTGTCATTTCATGTAGAAGCAGCTTCCAGATTAAGCTTTCATGTGAATGAGTAAGTGAATGCTCGGCTAACCTGCCTCTTCCCCGCAAGCTTGGCAAGATCCGCATCACGAGCAATGGCGACCGAAGCGCGCGCGCCGCCACGACACGACACGAAACGAAACACTGAGATACTCCATGCAGTACCGAACATCGCAAGCCTCGAGCCTCTGCCAAGCTGCATTTTCTCCATCGGATCCCCTGGAAATGTGCCCGCCGCGCTGGCTCGACCATGGCAGGCCATAGTCCCGTCGTCATCGACTCGTCGTCGCCCGCAGCCTTTCGCCCTCCCACAATCTCGCCGCAGCAGACGACGGGAAAGACCGAAAGTACAACGCAAGCCTCTTCATCGCCCGGACTGCCTTCTCCGTCTGCGTTGTTTGCCAAGTCACGGACTTCCGGCCAGCAACGCCCAGAAGGCGCGAACAAAGGGTTCGCTTCGGCGGCGAGTCTGGTGAAGTCGAACTGCTTTGGCGCCAGTGTTGAGGCTTCGAAGGAAGACGTGAAGAGGCAGGCGGAAGATGGCGGCGATCGTGGTGCAACGGAGAGCACAGGAAAGCTCCCAAGACCCAAGAAGCCTGAGACGGCGGAGAAGGCGAGACCAGAGCGACAACGACGGAGAAGCACAACGCCATTCGACGACTATGCGTTTCTCGCGCCATCGCCGGCGTCGAGGAGGGTGTCGAGAAGTCCAAAATTGGCGAGTCCGATCGTTCTGAACCCTCCCAGCGATGCCTTGCAGAGGCCGGGGGCACCAAGCATTTCGTTCTCTGAGCACGACTTCAGGCCTGGACAGCAATCGCCAAGTGAGGCTGTTCTTCCCATTCCGAAGGCGGCAAAGAAAGCCAGAAAGTCGAAAGCAGCAAATGCGGGCTCGACGAGCGACAAGCCAGCAAGACGGCCCAAGAAGAAAGCGGCGAAGGTCGTGGGGGAGAAGAAGAGTGACAAATCTGTGAGCTTCATCTTGAACTCAGACGATCTTGCTTCGACCCAGTTCGCCGCATTGGAAGCTAAAGATGTGCAAGGCGAGAGGACAGTCGGTTCAGCTGCAGAGGATCATGGTGATGTCGAGCATACAAAGGCAAAACCCAGGCCCAAGAAAGCTCCAAAAACGGCTGTTGACGAGGGAGAGCGAGCGTCAAAGCTGCCTCAGAAGAATTCGAAGACTAAATCCTCAACTCATGCCTCAGAGGTCCAGTTCGACCAGCAGTCCGCTTTCTTCGCGCCCGCAAAGAAGAGCACAGATGTCCATCTCAACACATCCCCCTTCCAACCTATTCCGCCGCACCGTGGCGAGCATGAAGCGGCTGATCTTGACACCCTACCAGCGCCAGCACATCGTCGCAGGCTTAGCTGGACTCCAGTGAAGAACACCTCTGCGCCAGCATTCGCCAGACCCGACACTGCTTGCTCCAACACATCTGCTGATGCCGAAAGACCAACGCTGTGTTTGGCTGATGTGATTGGCAGCTTCGGATATGCCAGCGAAGACAAGCCGCCACCAATCAAGCGTACACACTCTGGAGAAGCCCTTGCCAAGCGGAGACGAGTTGGTCTCACAGATGATGCAACACGACCACCGGCCGCGCGCAAAGCAGAAGTTGTACAACCTCCGCCAGCTGTCGAGCCGAAGAAAAGGGAGAGGGCACCCAAAAAGAAGCCGCAGACAATCACTGACTTGGCCACGAAAGCATACCGACCTGAAGATGTCGCACCCGCGCCCGTTGACCAGCAAACAGTGTCCTCCTTCTTCGTGCCGAACGCACAAGCGGAAGCGACAGCGCACGAAGTACCAGCTGCTGAGGACCAAGGAACGACAAAAGTGAAGAAGCCTCGCAAGTCTCGGGCAAAGAAAGCAGATGTCGACGGCGCCGTAGACACAAGCAAGCCGAAGAAAGCCAAAACCGCGAAGGCCAAAGTGCGCTTCAATGAAGCAGATTACTTGGCTCAGCTATATCGCCCGGAGGAAGCGAGAGCAGAAGAGAAACGTCAGGATTTCTTATTTGGCACATCCAGCCAGCTCGGTGGCGAGGATTCACCAACCTTCATACGTCAAATACAGATGGCAGTACGTGAGTCAGAAAGCATTCCGGCTGTGCAGAACGGCACGAGTCCGGCGCGAAAGAGCTGTATGAAAGTCATATCAGCATCACATGGTACAGGTCTTTCAGTTGGGCAGGGCAGCAAAGAGCATTGGTGTTCAGCAGCCCGAGGTCAGGATGGAGAGACACTCGATGCCAGCTACGATCGACCGACCTTGAAGCCGCATAGTGCTCCTCCGCCGAAGACAAATACGACTGAAGAGGCATGCAGCGGTCTTGTTCCGCCACAATTGGAGCTGAAGCATCTCGAGACTGGGACATTTGCCAAATTTGGAGCCCCGGGTGATGACGGTCCTGATGGAGACCCTGTCAGTGTGTCGATGGAGCCTGCGCATGGGATAGTAAATCTGTGTTCCTCCTCCCCTACCGCCGTGCCGCCTGAACTTCGCCATGATGATCGCCCGGCCCATACTGTCTCTGGCTTGCTCCACGCTAAGGCTGCTCCTCGAGAAGCGTCTTCACGATCTGGCGCCAAAGGTGACTTATTTGAGAGCAAAACCATCGACTCGAAAGACGCTCCTACCGATCCCAGGCCTACCCCACCGTGGTCACCATCTCGCAAAGCCCAGCTGCCATCACTCAAACGATCTGCAACTTCGCCTATTCGCCCCGCACTCCAGATGCTCGACAATAATATCCACAGTCCATTGCATACATCATCTCACAAGACGGGAAGCATCGCGCTTTGCCGCACATTAATTGATGATGCATCACCGGCTGAAGGCAAACGCCCTAAAGCCAATGCTATTGTTGAAGCGACAACACCGAAACGAAGAGGGCGACCACCGAAACAGAGGCAAGCAATTCCTCATCGTGTATCTCCTCTCAAGCTCTCTCCAGCCTTCAAATCCGCGTCTCAACCTGCCTCTCCTCCAAAGTATATCAACATCGACGAGATCTCCGACTCTGATGAAACGCCATCTCCGCCACGAGCACGAGCCAACTCTTCTCCCCCTTCAATACGAACCCTCGACATCACTACCATCCCAGCACCAACAATCCTCTCCTCCGCAAAACTCAAACCCGACGACGCCGCATGGCCCTCCATCGCCGCCACCCTCTTCCCAAAAATCTCTTTCACCATCCGCTCCACACCTCCCAGTACCGATCTCCAGAACCCTTCCTGGCACGAAAAAATCCTATTGTATGACCCGATTGTTTTGGAGGATTTGACGGTTTGGCTCAATGAGCGGGGTGTGCGGTTGGAGGTGCGGAAAGTGAAGGCGCTGCCGAGGAAACGGAAGGGTGAGGGGGAGTTTGAGGTTGTGGAGTGTGAGGTTGTGCCGTGGATGGTGCAGAAGTGGTGTGAGGAGAGGGGGGTTTGTTGTCTTTGGAGGGAGGGGTTGAGAGGGGGGGTTCGGGTTCGGTATTGATGCAATGGTTTCTTTCGTGTCTCGCAGTCGGGGTGTGGTGTTTCTTGGAAGGGTTGGGACTTGAGAAGCGTAGTGTTTGGCTTGACGAGAGAGAGGTAGATTTCGAGATGGGAATCGCAACGATATCTTGAGATATGGACGCCATCTCTCTCGGCCGACGTGTCGCGTCTTTCTGAGATGGGGTGCGACTTGAAACGCACAATTCTCCACAACTGACGAAAGAGGTGGATGTATACTTACCAGGTGACGGTGGCGATGGTGGTCGTGGTGCTCCACGGGCCGGACAGACCGCCTTCACTGGCCAAAACTTGTATTCTGTTTTCTGGCACATTGGCCAGCGCCAGGGGCATGGGGGGGGTGGGGGGGGGGGAGATGTCGCCGTGTCCGCAGCTAAAAATCTCTTGCTCGATATGACACATTTTCGCGCATTCGAAGACCGTTTTTATAGTGTGTGGTTGAGGGATGATGGTTGAGTGGTGGTGAGGGTAGAAGGTGGTGTGTGGAGTGAGTGAGGATGGGAATTCTGCATGGCCGTTGGAAAGTTGTGCTGGGTTGGTGTGAAAGTGCTTAGGCTTTGCTGATGATATATGGAGTTCTGGAGTGGAGTCTGGAGCGTGATAGTACTGATAATAACCACGATTTTCTTGACGGGAACTCGGGATGAATGAGTGGAGATATGGAACGAGGAGCGTGATGAAAATGAAGGTTTGCTTTTCATGTCGACTTTGGCGGTATATAACTGGCTGAGAGATACTGGACTTGAGGCATAGAACGAATTCAAGTCGGCATGTGAAGATGTTTTCGAGTACTGGTTTTATACTGACTTGATTAATGGAGATCGAGGGAAAGAGATGCAACGAGGTGATCTTACGTATTCCAGCTTTGTGACCGCTCGACAAGGTATTATTCCACGAGGATGTCTCAAAGGAACGTTAGAGCCCTTGTTTGTGCTCTAGTGGTTGAGGTCGATCCGTCTTGTGGCTTAAGAGTGTTGAGTGAAGATTGGAGGGAGAGCTATCTCATTACCTGTAGCCTGTGAGCAGTGCTATTTTGAGAAGAGATACAACGAGGTGACCTTCCGCATTCCAACTTTCGTGGCCGCTCGACAAGGTGTTATTCCACGAGGATGTCTCAAAGGAACGTTAGAGCCCTCGTTCGTGCTCTGGTGGTTGAGGTGGATCCGTCTTATAGCCTGAGAGTGTTGATTAAAAATCACTTAGTGGAGGGAGAGCTATCTCATCAACTGTGACCTGTCCATTCAGGCTTATAAAGCAGTGTGAAACTGTCTAGAATGTGAAGGACACATTGTATGCGGAGTGAGTAAGCATAGGACGCTCCACAACCGGCAACCGAAGTGGGACTTTTCGGGTATCTCTCGAGTAGGACTGTACGAGTGAAGAGTACGACACAACAAACATGATCGCAGTAACGCACATTCATCTCCACTCAGGAATCTCGTACAGCATAGTTCGGATCAATGACGGGCTGCTTTCAATCCCATCCGCAGCAGAAGCGAGTACCTCAAGCAAAGAACTTCCTCCTCACCCACTCAAAATTCAAGTACAAAGCATCATCCCTGACTCGAAGGTCATTCACCGCATCCTTCCTCCTCTGCAAATCCACCTTCACTCCCAAACACCTTCCCGCCGAATCTTCAACCGCCATCGTCAAAATCTGCCACGCAATCCCATGCCCGCCCCCAATTTCAAACGGCTTCCTGTCCCTACACGCTTCAAACCCGCAAAACTCGCAGTAGCAGCTGAAGTTGACCAGGAACGCGTGGCAGCCTTCGTGGATCAGAGTGTAAACAATCGTCTCCGCCACACCCATGCCTTCACGACGTCTTTCGGCTTTCGGATCTAACTCGATGAACATCCTGTTTCCATAGCTCGTCCAGCCGAAAGCGTTGTAGTCTCGGTTCAGATGTGCTTTGAAGCTCACCGGGACGTCTTGCAGCGCTCCGAAGAAGAGGATCGTGCAGATGAGGCGCCAACCGATGTGGAGCGCTGGGAGAAGGTCTTCGGGACGGAGGCGGTCTCTCTCGATGGCGTTCGTCCAGTCTGTCATCCATTTGCGGAATTTCTGGCGCCGGAAAATTCGCTTCACGATGCTGATGGGGTCTCTCTTGACTAGTGCCAGGGCGGTGGCTTTCGCGACTGCTTCTGGTGAGTGCTTCTTTGCAAAGAGAAGTTGTTTGCTTGGTGGCTTGCGATGTGCTTCGAGAGTCGCCATGGTGTGTGTGGACGTGGGATGGATGTGAAGGTGAGAGTTTGAAAGCTGACACGGTCCTCGAAGACTTGGCCTTGTCAATATGCAAAGCCGTTGAAGTTCTCCACCCTAGCTGTGTTTCCGCAGCAGATACGGCGAGACGCTGGCTTGTGATTGATACATGATACGCTGGAGACGGACTCTTCTTATGCGAGGCTACCCAAGGTCAAGAAGTACGATCTAGCAAGTGAATACCTACACGAAATCTTCATCGCCTCCAAGGATGTTCACGCGGCATGCAGTGAGAAATCGATCTTCTGCTTTGGAATTGCGCTTGAACCCCTGAATTTCCATGAATTTTCGCGTGGAAGCTTCGACAAATACAGGTCAGGTCTCCATCGATCTCCTTCCGACGCGACAAGGGTCGAGACGGGGTGACTGGATATGCCTTCAATTCAAGTGCAATGATGCTTCCATCTCTCAGTGAGTCTTTAGCGCATGCTCCCCAATTGACTCTGCAAGCCAGCACGCGAGTTCCGCCTCCTTTGGTGCGATTCTTTGGTCTGAACGACCGAGTTCAGTGCAAGAGGCGAGCGATCACCAATTCCCGCAAAAAGTGCGTCCACACCGGGTTCAAAATCGTAAGGGTCGGAGAAACGATCGGGGTCACCATCGGCGTCGCCAAAGTAGCTATGATCGTTATGCTTGTTCGCCTGGCTTTCTTACGGCGCTTTATCGCGCTGTTGTCCGCCTTCCTGGTCAGTATTGTTAGCATTTCCTTGGAATTGCCTACTCTTGTCGCCGCCGAAATTGGCCTGCTCGCGGCTTCTGTCGTTGTGCTTCTGATCCTAGCGGTTAAAAGGCCGCGAATTAACACGCTTTGTGTCACTTGGGGGGAGAAGCTGCTGTTGTAGTTCCTCGCCTAGCGATTGTCGTCTCTGTTTCTTAGGAGAGCTGGTCGATTCTGCGGTTGTTTGGGTGTTAGTGGGACGATAGGTGTTGTCTGGACCACGGTTCACGAGATCCGTCTCCTTCTTTGGTGTCAGCAGCTACTCGAAGACACTCTGGCCTGGCACCAGAACGACATTCGGGAAGTTCCTTGGAGTTCGTCTTCTTACGAAGGCCAACCGAGCCACGGTATCCCTCCACGCTGCGACGACCATTCCCAGAAACCGGGCCAGCCCTTGAGCAATCAGGTTTCTTCTGCCTGGAGTGGCGCTGCAATTTGGGCGCAATAGGGAATTGTTGTCGGAGCTAGTTCGTCAAACCGATATAGTGCTCTAATTTCTGCACCTTCTCGGGGAGTTGTAGAGAGGCGATTGCGGCAATCTTCTCTTCGCTCGTCGCCAAACCGAGACCGCTCACATGTTACCCCAGGAGGGTTGCGGAAGGAAACGGAAAGGCGCACTGCTGCCCTTGCAATATGAAGACTATGCGATCGTAAGGTTCTGCCGTCGATACAGAAGCCACCTGCTCGACCAGCTTGACTACGCCCCAGCAAGGAAGCGCGCAGTGGAGCGCGACTGGAATATCATGATTGCCGAGAGAAGGCTAGTCTTTGCCGACCGTGTGATTGTTCCATGTCCTTCACACGTATTCGAACTTGCTTCCCCTGTAGGTCGAAAGGCCAAATAGTTGGTTTGCGATCTGAGCTGCGTTGTGACAAGCTCTCTGCGCAAGACGCCGTGCTTAGACTGACGCGTGATCGTTTCATGGTATCCACTTCTTGCTTGTAGTGCGTTCGAGCTCGACTGAACACGAGGGCGCAAAGATGTGAAAGTCGAAGCTTGGTGCTCTAGCAGAGACTCTGGACGCGGAACTTGATCCATTTGACGGACGCGTGGTTATTCATTCAATGGACTTCCCTTCGGGCTTCTTGTTCTTTTGGAGCTCTTTTGTCATTAACGATACGATGGTGTGAAAAGCGCAGCTTGATCTTTCATCAGTATTTCTGAGCGCAGAGGGTGAGTAGACAGCGTTGTTGTATGGGAGCATACCAAGGAGCAGCGTACTGTCCCTACGCATTGGGCGGTTTGTCCAATCTATATCTCCTCGTGGCATGCGTCCCGCCTGGAGTTGAGGATGCGCGGTGTGCAACAAATGGTCCAGCCCCAGGTCCCGCACCTTGTCGTCCTCATTTCGCGTGGTGTATTCTCGCATGTTGGCTAGAACGTGGTCTGGCATCGCTACAAGTGCTCTGTGCTGTTTCCTCAACAGTTCTGTGGTGGCGCGTTTCAATGGCAATTCGACGTGGAGTGTGTGCGGTGTGTCTGCAGAGTTGCTCCTCGTTTTCTTGAGTGTACGGTCGTTGGCATTCGACGAAGTTTCAAGCTGCGACTGGCGTTCGAACTGCTTGGCGCTGTGTGGAAGTCGTGAGCAAGCGAAGGCTGGAGTTCGAGCCCCTGAGACAGCAAATCCACAACATCGTCAACCTTGCCTGATCGCTTCCATTTGCATTGTCTCAGCAAGCAAATGTGGTATACTTGCACCAGCGAGGCGTAGCATATTGATATGGAATTGCCAAAGGTCGCAACGGACGAAAAGCGCAAAAAGAAGTTGGAGCAATGCCAAGGCCACATGAAGCTGATCCATAAAACAATGGCAGAACATACGAGAATTGATCTTATTGTATACAACATTCAGTGCAATGCTTCGGCAGAAGTCGATGCCGCGAGCAGTTGTGGTATGTTTCTGCGTACGCTAATCAAGTGGTGGGCGCGGAGCCACTGAAGCTCGCAAAAGATGAGAACGATGAAAACAATACACAACGCGCCAAGACCCATATGAAACTCATCCATCTGAACATGACAAAACCAACACCAATAATGAACACCAAAAAAATGGCAAAAAATATAGATCTGAGCAGGCTCGATTTGCTTCTTCAGTGATCGATTTCATTTGCACCTGGATGGAACGGTAGATCTTGAGACCGTCCGGGGCTTTCGGCTAGCCCCTGAGCCATCTGTGAAATGTTAGTAACTGTGTACAAATGGAAGGTCTTGACTGCGACACGCCGGCCGCAATCTCACTCCCGGTCTCTGGATCATTGGCTGGCTAGGCCTCACCAGAGACATTGGTGCTGCTTTACCTACCGTATATAATAGTCAAATCCATCCTTGGCGGACTTGGTGCTGGGAAGGGGAATGTGAGCTTGTTCTCCTCCTCTGCCCGGATGGTTTGCCAATGCTACGCAGCGCAATGCATCATCAACAGCAGCACCTTTTCACCACTGCGGCCACCACCACTGCCAACAAATTACAATTGCCTTCACCACCATCTGGAAGGCACTCGCAACATCTATCAACAACCTCCAAAGCCTCTTTGACGCTGGCAGTGTGCTGCTGGCGGCCAGCCTGGTGTCGAACGCCCAGTGCATTACAGCATTTACCAGCGCAACGCAACACGCGCATCGAACCGTGGGTCCGTCCTCGGCGAGCACGCTTCTCCTCGTCAACCACCCGGCTGAATCAACGACGCGTCTGCAAGAATCGACGGACAAACAGCTCTGGCATCGCAAATCCAGATCTGTTCCACACCAAGCAGCAACTGACAAAGTCACGCAAAGAGCTCGATCCCTCGATCCATACCTGAGAAGCCGTCGAAGCAGCAGCGCAGTTACAAGTCCCTCCAAGAGAATTCTGCGCGTATTGGTGGCAGTACCGGCAAGACATTCGCAAATCTACGGACCAAAAGGAGCGCGCAGAAAGTGGTCCAAGAAGCACGACATCGTTGCCGTGTCCCTGGCATGCTCGAATGGGGTGGCGTGCGCTATAGACTTCGTTCATCGAGCTGCAGCAAGTCGACAATGCTCCATCAAATCCATCCCAGCTTGATACACGAGTTGTAACCACCGCGCGGCCGTCACAGCAACGCATCCCAAGTTCCTCAGGATCCTGCAGCATGGCAGTGATCGGGAGATTCGGCGACATTTGAGGCGCATCGCAATCATACTGTGCAGTCACGAGAAGCTCCCGGCTCGAACAGTCTAGGAAGAGTTTCGAGCACGATTTGGGTCACAGACGGAAGATGGGCAGATCGCAGCAAGAGCCGGGACACCGGTACTATGAGACAGTGAAGAAATGGACGTAACACCGTCGAGACGACTGCCTTGCCTTCGTTTAATTTGCCCACGGTCCACGGATATCGAAGGCTCCTTGTTGGAAGACGGTGGTCGTGAATCAGGGCTTGCGCTGATAAGTTCTTTTCCGTCCTCTGAACGACCATCTTTCCAGCCCCTGGGTCTTATCTATCAGCACGGAAATCGAAACGAGGTCCTCGACCAGCAGAGGCCGGCGACGCGGATCTTCGGACTGAATAGAGCATTGCACAATGCCACTGGTTACTCTATAGGCGACAGTCTGCCATCGCCACCAATGCCTTTTTCGAAAAACCATTTGCAAGTCGACATCGAAGGATCGAAAAGCAACATCGCTACGACTCCAATGCTTGGCCACCATAAGCCAGGTGCAGTGTGCGGCTGAGGAAAGATCGAAGGATGTGCAATCTCACAGCTTCGAGCGTTGACAGTTATCGCCGCCAACGCTTTTTCGGATGGGTGGGCAGAGAGCGTTCGACTTCGCTATTGTGTCGTTGGATCTGATACCTTTGACAACGAAGACACCATGCGGAGAGAGATGAAGAATTAAGGCCAAAGCGAGCGTTCGGTTTCGCGATTACGTCGTTGGATATGATACCTTTATTTCCGAAGACGCAACGCGGAGAGATGGGTGAGAAAGCAGTAGCCACTTCCGGAGATCTTCTTTTTCAGTCTGCTGCGACACCATGCGGCGGTGACAAAGACCGTTGGAGGGCGAGACAGCAGCGTGAGTCCAGGACGATATTATATGGCCACTACCTTACGAATCCTACGTGCGCTGCATGGCGTTACGAATTGAAGTTCGTATAGCAGATTCATCTTCATCGAAATGCTCAGTCCCGGCTGAGGGATATGACGCGGCCCAAGCTCATCGACAAAAAGCTTTGGGAGTTGCTCCAAACGACGTTGATTGTATCCCTTGTACTTCTTCTCGAGACGATCGACTGGAACGAACGATGCAGCTTGCAGAGTCCACATTCATCCATAAAACCACGCAGTCGTCACTCACGAATATCATCGACTTGATAACTGGTCTGGCCTTGCCTGTTTTTCCCAACCTCATTTTCGTATGGAACTGCTTCTTACAGGACTGCGTTTCAAGGCATCAACGAATGCCGTAGAGTCCACTGGAAACTTCCAACAGGCCAGGATTGGCCACCTCACACAGCGTGACTACGCAGAAAGTTGACGTTATGAGCTGCCCCAGTCGGTCAGGAGAACGATATCACCGTCTTGAAGATGCCATATTCCGTGCTCCAGAGCAACACAGTTACTCGCACCAGAGGCAAGTGTTAATCGGCCAGGTACATTGGACTGGCTTGAACTTGAAATGGAAACTCGCCAAGCAGCACCGAATCTTCCTCAACCACCACCAGACGAGGCTCGGTCCGCGGAATGCAAGACGCTTCGTTCCACGTACTCAAGTGCATGGTGGTGTCATCTCGAGTGTTGGACCGATCATCGCTACCATTCTCGTATTGCAGCACTCCACTATCGAACTGAGAACTGCCGAAACGACCCCAACTCCCTCGTCTCGGTGATGTAAGGCGTCGGCCATGCTACATGTAGTATTGGCTGAAGGTATCAAGCGAGCCGCAGTCCATGGGGACTAGTGAATTTTCATTGATAGTTTCGCACACGCTACAGTGGTTGGTGCACTGGGCGATTGGAGTTCGGAAGATTTGGGCCAAGTTGAGGTTGCCGGAATGGAGCTGGTGACTGATGCAAAGCGGACGAGGCTGAAAAGAGATCCTGATGGCATCGGCATCCTGAAGCTACATGTAGTTTCGTAGCAGATCCGGGCTGGGAAGTAGAGTCTGAAAATCAGACACGATACTCCCAAAACGGCTCTTGATTCATTTCACTCCGCGCTCATGTGTCTTCCCGCCGAAGCCGTTGCATGAAAAGCCAACTTCCGCAGCCCTCAATTATGCACCCCACCCCCAACATTCGCCGTACTCCTCCCCAAACCCCCCTTATACCTCTCCAAAGCCCTTTTCCTCGCCATCGAATGCTCAACCATCGGCCTCGGATACCCCGCCTTCTCCGCCTCCTTCGCGGCTCCGCGTCCATAAGGATCATGAATCGCCTTACCCTTGATATTCTTCAACTCAGGCACCCATTTCCGGATATACTCCCCGCTCGCATCAAACTTCTCGCTCTGAAGCCAAGGATTGAAAATTCGGAAATAAGGCTGAGGATCCACGCCGGTGGAAGCGGAGAAGCCCCAACCACCGTTGTTCGAAGCGAAGTCTCCGTCGATCAAGTTTTCCATGAAGTACTTTTCGCCCTGGCGCCAGTCGAGGAGGAGGTCTTTGGCGAGGAAGGAGGCGACGATCATGCGGCAGCGGTTGTGGATGTAGGCCGTTTGTTTGCATTGGCGCATTGCGGCGTCGACGATGGGGAAGCCGGTGGTTCCGGCGGTCCAGCGTTGGAAGTGCTCGTCGTTGTATTCCCATTCGATGTCGCTGTATTCGTATTTGAAGGGTTTGAACATGCAGACGTACGGCCAGTGTGATAGGACGTGTTTGTAGAAGTCTCGCCAGGCGATTTCGGAAATCCAGGTTATGATGCCTTGAATGCCGGCGTCGAGCTTGTTGGCGGTGTTGGCTTCGCGTGCGGCACGAATGGCTGTTCGAGCTGCGAGGGATCCGGCGCTGAAGTGTGCCGAGAGGTTTGAAGTCGAGTTTGCGGACGGGAAGTTTCTGGTGTCTTTGTATTTGTTGATCTTCTCTTTCAGGAAGCGCTGGAGTCGTTCTTGGGCTTCGTGCTCGCCGGCAGGCCAGATTGAGGCCAATCGTTTCCGGTCTTCTTCGGAAAGACGCTTGTTCTCAGGCGCAGGCGGGATTGCTGCATCGAAGATATCCTTGAACTTCTGCTTGGCGGAGTCTGGATTGGCATCCGGGGCTTCGCTGACATTCAGAACGTATGGATGCTCATGAATGAACTTTACCCAAGCCCGATACCACGGAGTGTAGACTGAGTATTGCTTACCGGCTCCAGACATGAGATCTCCCGGCTTCACCACCACATCATCGTGCAGACAATTCACAGAAATGCCCTTCTTCAGGCCTTGCTTGATGAGCTGGGTCTCTCGTCGCAGCTCGTCCACCTCGTACTCGATGTTGCAGAACAGATGTTTGGCATTCCACTCTTCGCACAAGGAGAGTATGTGCGGCAATACCTTTGCCCTTTTCTCCATAGTTTTGACGTACAGCGGAATGTTCTTTTCGGCCAGATCCTGCTTCAGAACCTCCAGCGTTCTCAAATCGAAATCCACTCTGGCCTTGCTGGTGAAGTGTGCTTGATAGTCTTCCGGACTGACGATGAACATGCAAACCAAATTCGCGTTGTTCTTCTTGGCCAGCTCGCTCGCTGCTCTCAGGCCTCTATTGTCGTACTGCCTCAAATCTCTCTTGAACCAATGCACCACTGTCTCGCCCGTTTTGATCTTTTCGCGCTCCTTTTTGGTCGCAGCGATTGCGTCTTCAAGCAGCTTGCTTGGCCTCGGTATCTCCCCATCGTTGTACTGCTTGCATCGTTCGTTGGACATTTCGGGTGGATAGAATTCGCGCTGGACAATGCCCACTTTCTCTGCAATGCGCGAATGGTCGAAGTTTTCCGCGCCCGGTTCGCGCTTGGCCTGTTTGACCGGTGGCCGCACTGGCGAGGTTGCTTTGCGTTTTGGGGCCATCGTCGTCGTTGTCGTCGCGTAGAAGGCTACTCGGGAGGGTGGATGGGAGGGAGCTCGACTTGAGATGGATCGCGGTGTAGTAAGCAATGTACTTTGGACGCAGGCGACGATGCGCATGCGGCTTGGATGTGATCGATATCGGTATGCTGATGTTTGTCATTCGCGTCGAGGGTGAAAGGAGAGGCATGGCTCTGACGCGGAGGCACAAGCCTCGACTCCTTTGTCAGTGAAGCCATTTCCATATCCATACGTCACGTCGAAAGGCGCTAGCGGCAAGCGAGATCTCAATCAGATTTCATGCATCTTCAATCAATTATCAATTGCTCCCTCTGCTATCCTTTATCAATCAGGTCAAATGATATCGAGTCTCGAGACTGCACTGGAGAGCTTTCAGTTCTCCCTATGCTGCTTGTATATATAGTGATGTATTAGCATTTCGTTCAATCGATCGTTGCACTGTGAGCCGACTGGGATCCTTTGTCAGCTCCCGAATTCCGACCCAGTTTCCCCAGACACTTCACTTACTTCAACACTCGGTCCTTCACTTTTCCATCAGAATGACAATGGCCTGTCGATTCCAGTCCTTACCGATGCAGTAATGGCGCCAACCCGCATTAAAAAGCGGCTATGGTTTCGACAAAAGTCCAGAGGGGCCAGAAGATCCTGAAACCTAGCAGTCTCAAATCCAGGCGCAAAGCTCCGAAACCGCCCATTGCCTTGCCCGTGGTCTCTGCTCCCAACGAGGCTTCTGTCCAGCCCATAAAGCCCCTTCTCAGCGGGCGTAATCGCGTCGCGGCTCGACGTTCGACATTACTGCCCCTGCGCACAGTTTCACAGCAGCGACTCGCGCTACTGACCGCGCAATCAAGCGTCGTACCGCTTCCGACGCCAAATCTCAAAAACCGTACATCTTTCCTAGCGAGGTTGTCCCAAAGTCGTGTCAGCCCAGCAGTCCTCCGGTCTCTCGGGCTCCGGCGGTGGATACCCGGATCCGGTCTGCTGAGATCGTCCAGACGAAGACCCGAGGACTGTGGCGACATCTACAGCCTGCAATCCATGCTGGGACTTCGCGCCGCTGAAAGTAGCTTGTCTAATGTCACACTCTTATCGTTGGACCTGGAATGGCGGCCGTCACCAGGCTCGTTTCAAATCACCGAGATCGGGATCTCGGTGCTGAAGACGAAGAACATCAGAGGTGCGGCTTTTGGGCCTTACGGGCATGGTTGGTTCGCCAAAATGGAGCATCGTACGCAATCTCCCACTGCTGCCATTTGTTTCGGCACTGACCAGTGAGTAGACCATATAGCAGTAGCAACATCCAGCTTAGATCCAAAGCCAATCGCTCCCTCTCTGTTCGCGAGCACCCAGAGACTTTCCCATGTCCAGGCCAGAGAGGAGATTGCAAGAGTCATCGCATCCTTGGACTCTGACAACGACCCGGGTCAATTGGTCATTGTCGGGCAGTCCGTAGAGGGAGACATCCAGAGGCTGCGCAGAGATCCTTTGTATGCCATTGACATGAGAAAATGCTCCGGCGCCGACATGCCGTTCCATTCCATCCTGGATACCTTCGACCTGGCGCGTGCAGCACGGCGCCGAGGCACCAGGTTTAGGACCCTCCGCCTATCTGGCATCGCTCGCACCGCCGGCATCGATCCAAAATACTGGATGAAGCAACGCGACCTGTTCGGCAATGTTTCCGCGCTGGTCGGAGTCCACAACGCCAGCAACGATGCCGCCTACGCTCTTATGACGGCACTGCTGCTGGGCATGAGGTGGAACGATCTCGTCGGCTCGGAGGAGAAGCGAATGGCGAGGGCACGCGTGTGGAATACGAGTCGTGGCACCAGACTCCCTGCACAAGTGGCCGTCAAAACCTTCACCGACGAGGAGTGGAAGGCGTGTGCACCCGCGGCACGCGCTCGGAAAAAACGTTGGAGGACACATCGCGATCGAAGACAAGCGCGGACAGAAGAAGCTGAGATGGAAGAGACGACGACGGAGATCGAGAGACCCGACTGGCTGCAGTGGATCACATCTCTTTTCAGTCGGACTTGATTCTCCAAATTTCGCCCCTCGGACAGGTTCCCATCTCCCTCTCCCTCTCCCAGGCTAACTTGTTCACCACTCCCAGCCTCTCACACGCCAATCACTCCCCCTCCCGCCCCAAATCCTCCACGTCGGCCTGTAACTGGACCAGTGCGGCATCGAGGGCGGTATCGAAACGCCTTCCCATCGCTCCAGCGGCCCTAAGCACCCATTTTGCCGTCGCGATCGGCGATCATAGCATTCCAATCGCGCTCCATGGCGCGCATACTGGCTAAGGCGTGGTCGCGCTGGTTGCGTAGGTGGTCGTTCTGGTAGCCCAGTTCTTCGACAAGCAGGTTGTTAGTGCGTATTGGACTGGTATGTATTGCATGCAACTTACTTTGACGGACCAAGTGTTCTCGAGACGCCATGGTGGTTGCGGCCGATGGCGACTTTGGGTGTCGATGTAGGTGGAAAGAAATGGAAGGCGAGCTGTGCACAGAATTGGAGCTTTTCGGTTGCCGGCACTGAAAGAGATGGCTACACGAACGGTTCTGCTGTCTACTCAGCTTGAATTGGGCCCTTAACTCTGCTGGGGGCCTGTGCGCTTCATGCGCTTCATCGTCTCCAAGGTCTTACCTAATCTGAGTGCCTGCTGCATACCTAGGTGCCAAAGATCTTGCGGGAATATCGAGAGCGACGTGTAGCAGCAGCGGTGTAGATCAATACAACAACTCACAGGACTTCCTCTGGTCTCTTCCCAATTGACAGATTGCGGCCGACCTCACTTCAGTCATGCGATGCTCTTCAACGCTTGTATACGCTCCATCAGACTACAAGCTCCCCAAGACCTTACTTCCTCTAAGTGCCTGCAGCAGACCTAGGGACCAAATACCCTACGGAAATGGAGAGAGCGAGTTACACCAACACCGATATGGACGAATACAAAAACCCTCACCATCCTCCAATTCCCAGATCACAGCTAGTCAACCATATCTCCTCCTCCTCACCACGAACCAGAACACCAATCCATCCTCAACCATAACAACACCATCTATCATTCAACCAATAAACCATCCTAAACACCACCATACCCCCATTCCCTCAAAATCCCCCCAATACGGGAGGTAAGTAGACTAGGTTTGATTAAGTTTACCTCGTCTAACTCCTCTATATATCTCCGTAAAAACATCTTCTATAAAACCCCCGGACTTGTCATATAAAACCTTAAGCCACCCTAAGTATAAGAGCTATATAGAGCAACGTAGAGTGGGCTCACTTGTACAGGCAGTAGGTGATTCCAAACAGCTCCGCAAAAACATCTTCTGCAGGACACTCGGGCGTGTCATACAAGGCCTTTGACATAACATCGCACTTCGAAAAGCGCACAGAATCAAAATCGAAATCATTCGCACACCGGAGACTTGAGATCATCATGCATCATACACGAGCACTATCCACAATCTCTACAAACCCCACCCCACCTCACCCCATCCATAAAACCCCATCTCAAAAATCTACACAAAACGCCTCGCTTTCTAACACCCATACACAAACTCAATCTAATCAATCATAAAGCCAAAGCGGCGAATTCCAAACATCCAACTCCAAAGCCTCAAAATGTTCCATACCGGGCTCCTAGACCTGATACGGCATTCCAAGGGGATCGTTGGCACCAAAAAGACCATGCTGACCAAGACCAGCAATGTTCCCATCGAGAGCCCAGCTGAGAGGATCAAAGACGGCGTTGCCGCCGAAAGTTGCGTCCCAGTTCATGGCGTCGAGGTCGTTGTGTTGGCCGATGTTCATGGCGGTGCTTGGCTGCTGCAGTGCGATTTCCGGCATGCCGTTGGGTGGCACGGGCGTGTTGCGGTTGGTGTCGGGGAGTTTTGTTGGGTTTTGGATGTCGTGGATTAGATTGTCGCCTCCTGCTTTGCCGGCCTTCTCGCGCCAGCGCCAGATCGCGTCGTAGAGGACCGAAAGCGAGGAGCGACAGCGGACTTTGAGTTGGAGTTCTTCTCCGGAATCGTTGCGTGTGTCTGCTTTGAACAGTTCTTGCTCGCCAGCTCCACTGGACAGCCAAAGCTGGGCCATGACTTCTGCGAGGCGTTGGGGTAGATCGTTGGAGCGGACGCTGAGCTTGCGGAGGGCGCCGACAGCGCGGCTGAAGAGTGTACGGCCGTGCACAGTGTCGACATGCTTGGCGTAGAAGGAGTTGAGGATCTTGAGGAGGGTGACGGATGCAGCGAGCATCATTTGTTCGACGTAGCGAGGGACGTACGCGAATTGCTCTGCCTTCATCTCACTGACGTGCTCCAACAGTGCGGAGGCCGCGATGTAGACGTTGCGCAGGTCTGCAAGCCAATTGGGCTGACCCGGCTTGTCGAAGAAGGCGGTGAGACGAAGATGGAGGGCTGCGGCTTTGAGGAAGAGGATCTCAATCGCTATGATGTTTGTTAGCGCCACTCGGCGAGATTGGTTATGAAGAGCTTACATGAATTGCTGGTCGACAGAACCGTCACTTCCAGCTCGCCGAGTTCGCGGGCGTACATGTCGATCTGAAGACCTCGCTGCGCCTGGTCCACCTCCACAATATGGTCGCGCTGCATGGTGAAGAGTGTGCGGGTGACGGTGTCGCAGAATTTCTCAATCTGACATCGTCGCTGAAGTTCTGGCTTCATTCGATCAAGATGCAAGCCGTAGGTAAACCAGGCCCATCTGGAAAGCGGGGGCTGGCCCATACCTGTGCTCACATATTGCGCGACGATGTTGACAGTGGCCCAAGTGTTGAGTCGGTCGGCGATGTCTTCCTCGCGCAGCTCCATGCGGAATCTGCTGAAGTCTTGGGCATGCGAGGGCCGATGTAAGCCATATTGCATGGCGAGCTGAAACATGATTCCGCACATCATCATGGTCGGTTCTTGCGATGTCGACGCACTCGGCAAAGGCCATGCGCAGAGTAGTGCTAATGCCTTGCAGACCTGGTAGGTTTGCGGGACTTGCGAAAGTGTCGTCCAGAGAATCTCTTCCAGTGGCCGCTGCAGCTCAACGAACAAGCCAGGCTTTGCTTCATAGCGGCGTGCAGCAATGGCGACAATGGTCCAATGCAGAAGCGGATGATGGCCGTAGTAGTCTTCGTACGTCGCTTTGGGGTCCAGCACAGGTAGGAAATCGTGATAGTGGTTGAAGTATACTTGGTAGAGGTCGAGGATGTGCGACTCGCTCAAGGTCACACTGCCAATCGTCGTCTGCGATGTTCCAGGCGTGATGGATGGATAGCTCGTCGGCGCCAGCTCGCGGTACCCTTGGCTGAGGTCGAGCAAGCTCCGCGATGCAGCAGCCTCGTTGGCGCCCACGAACGCGCTGTTTCCACCCATTGTCGCGACTGGAGCACCACCATCTGGAGAAGGCTGATAGCTGCCGGTGTAGGCTGACTGCGGCGTCTCCTCGGGCAGGTACATGCCCAATGCCTCATAGCGAGCGAGCCTGGCCTTGGCCTTCTCGAGCTCCTTGACCATCTCCTCGTGGGCGGCTCTCTTTCCCAGCCGCTTGAAGCCATCGTCGATGCTGCATTTCAGGTTGTGTTTCTTGCATCGATCGCATGGGACATAGTGGTCGCCCGGGCCTGCGACGACATTGCATCGAAGCTGTACACAAGCATGTCAGTCAGCACGGGCAAGTGAATGAATGATTGGTGGGAGAGCAGGGGGTGGCATGGCGGGAGCGGGATTGCATGTGACTGCGACTGACCTTTTGCTGGCGACAGTCATTGCAGGCGCGCTTCACGCCGGGCTGGTGTCGCTGCTTGTTGCCGTTGCTGGTCGGACTGCCCGCGAAGCCGCCAGCGCTGCCCGGAGCTCCGCTACCGCTGCCGCCGCCGCCGCCGCCGCCGCCGCCGACCCCTCCTCCACCGGGCGATTGCGCTTGCAGCGGACCGCCGTCGCCATTCTCGGTGGCCACCGAAATGCGCTTTCTCTTTCTCGCGGCGCCGTCGTCGTCGGCGGCGGGACTGGTGGGCGATGCGTGCGCCGACGATGCCAGGGCGGACGCCGGTGGGTCGAAACTGGTGCCGCTGTGCCAGGACATTGCGCGCAATTCCGCGACCGATGATGTTTGTTTGCGACCGATGCCGGAGCACTCGAGCCTGATACCGCACTGGACACTCAACTTAATGTTTCTGCCAAGCCCGAATGAATTCTACCATCACGTGAAAGCTCGGATGTACGTTTATGGTAAGCCTGAAAATACCGAGACATTACCTCACAACCATCTCTCCATTTCCTGTATGCACAAAAAAACACGCTCGGCAACATTAAAAGCACAACTAGTCCCTCTTCATAAGATCTAGACCTTCGCCAACATCCTCGTTCGTTAGAATAAGGCGTGTGAACACACTATGAATATTCACTCACCCAGAACATTCAACGTCGTCTTTCACGCTGCTAGGTAGACCAGTCCATCTCAATTCAAGCGATCATTGAACAATATCGTTTTACTCAGGAATAGCTGAGTTGTAGATAGAGGAATGACTGGTGGCGCCGTTGAGGTTGTAAGAGAGGATTTTGCAGACTGCCTGGAATTATTGACGGCTAGGGTTTTAGTTGCCCTGTTGGAAGGACGTTTCGACAAGATCCACTAGGCGAATCGACAAATTACAAGCAAGCCTCGTACTCGGCTCGCTGGAGTTTGCCGTCTTTCATTGAGCGAAGGGATGTGTGCTCAGCTTTGGCTAATGGATGGTGCATGAGTGACTGTAGAGCTGGAATATGAGAGTACCATCCGGCCTTCCCTTACGCCTTCGATGCAGACTTGCTAATAGCGCCAAGGATGAAGTCGAGCCCAGTCTTATGAAAGTCTTCCGCATCATTGCAAGCGTACTACGACCCGTCCGATATATAGTCGCCGCTTCTTTCTCGACACATCCCTGCAGTCCCGTCGTGCTAGCAGTGACATGGACTCTTCGAGACGCTCGACTTTGTCGGACTGGAAGAGACATCTGGGTACTGCAAAGCGTAGTGGGGTTTGACGAGAAGGGTAATGCGAAGGCGACGCTGTGGCTGCTCGAGGTGGTAGGCTCGCAGGTGGAATATTGGGTCGAGCTCCGTTTCATCCATCGACGCAAGACGCACGCTTTGATACCCGAGAAGCGCAGTAGTAGTATGGCGACGGAGTTGGTAGAGTTTTCCTGTAAGAACAGTCGTGAAATCGTAGGCCTACCCGGAAATCAGCTCCATTTCCACACACTCTGCAGCTGACACTGTCTGCGAACTGGACGGTACTGCTCCCGGCGGCAGGCTGAAGCAATTTCGACAAGCTACTTGCAAATCAGCTCCATTTAATTCAGCCTCTCAGCAACCACGGTGTCGAACGCGAGAAGCACAGCTCATGGCGGCATGCGAAAGCAGTGTCGTGCCTACTTCCAAATCAGCTCCATTCCATTCCACTTCGCAGCCAGCACGGTATGAAACGCGAGGAGCACGGCTCATAATGCCATGCGGAAGCAACATCGTAACCTTCGACAACCTACTCGCAAATCAGCTCCATTTCAATCCCCTTCACAGCAACCACGGTGTGAAACGCAATCAGCACAGCACATATCCATCAGGCAGAAGCAGCATCAAATTTCCCATTATTCACCCCCTGTATCCTACTCATACCTAAGCTCCGGCAACCTCCTCAAAAAATGACTCGGACACTCATACCCCCCGGGATTATTCTGCAAATACAACTGATGATACTTCTCCGCATCCCACCACTGTCCAGCCGGCAGGATCTCCGTAACAATCTTCCCAGCATACCACTGCTCATTCGCCGCCTTGGTAACCATCTCGGCAACCCTCCTCTGCTCCTCATCATGATAGAAAATGCCCGAACGATACTGCGAGCCTGTATCGGGGCCTTGACGATTGGCGGTGGTGGGGTCATGCATTTTGTAGAAGTATTCGATGAGGGTTTTGTACGAGAGTTTTTGCGGGTCAAAGAGGATTTGGCAGGCTTCGGCGTGCCCGGTTCGCCCGCTGCAGACGGCGCGGTAGCTGGGGGACTCGGTGTCGCCGCCGATGTAGCCTACGCGTGCGTCCAGTAAGCCTTTGTCTTTGAAGTCGTGGCGGTACATGTGTTCGACGCCCCAGAAACAGCCGGCGGCGATGGTGGCGCGCTGGGCGCCGTCGGGGACTGTCATTTGGGATGTGGTTTCCGGGGTGAAGTGGATGGATGTGGAGGAGAAGGGTCGCATGAGGCGTTGGAGGAGGGAGGCCATGAGGAGGCCGAGGAAAAGGAAGAGGAAGACGAGTTTGGTTGTGGCCTTCAGGGTGAAGGTGTGGTATATGAAGGTCTGATTGTGAGGTGAAGTGCTATGTGCAGGATTGTGGCGTGGAGATGGCCAAAAGAAGTGTGATGTGGAATCTTTCGAGGTGAATGATGAGCTCATCGGCAACAAGCTCTCGCTCTCGGCTCGGCGATCGACAAGGGTCTTTGGGGGGCGGAAAGGGAGGTGGAATGCTTTGCCTTACATTTCAGGTGGAGGTTCTCCTCTTGATCACGAGGTAAAGCACCTGGATCACTCGGCGCCACATTGGGCGGTCGCCAAACGCCCAGTTGCCGTTCAGGTGGTCGTAAATACGACCGAGGAGGCCGTCGTGCTCCAGAGCGCCCTGGAGCAGCAGGAAATAGACCGCGCGCATGCGCGGGTCGCGCTATAATGTGTCAGTATTCACCGCCTGCGACTCGAGACAGATGGACAGTATAAGAGTATAACAAAGGAATTGCCGGGTACGCCCTCGAGGTATGTCGCTTAGCTGTGAATGATGTTCGTTCTCGCGCGAAGAATGGCCATCCGGGATTCCCATAAAGATACACCAAGATTGTACCAGTTCCAGAGACCTCCCTAAGCAGGATGATACAGGGGATGTCCACTAAAGCGAAGAAAGAAGTTCAATGCAGCGCAACAAGCCCGCAAAGGAGCTGCTGGCTGCTTGATGGATGGATTCGATGTCTCGCTCCCAAGACTCTCGACTTCGATGACGTGTGGAGGAGGCAGTGAAAAAGAAGTGCGGTGCAAGGTAGGAATCATGCCGACGAGTTGTATGAGGGAGGAAGGTGGTGCAGCAACCAACTCAGCTTCAAGCTCACGCGCGAGGCTGGCTATGAAACTCCACCATGTCAAAAGTTCATTGGATTGCAGGGTGACGGCTCATGAGCAGAAAAACGTGCAAGGTGTGGGGCTGACTCCGAAAGTGGAGCGAGTGCATATGACAGTGGTATTGAAGGAACGTGCATGAAGACTGCTGCCGAGCAGAGCGAGCCGCAGCGGGAAGAGAGTCAGGTTATTGGAATGCTGGCGAAAGTCCACTCCCACCACAGAGCGCTCCCGGAGTCGCATTTATGCATCCAGATACCGCTCGCCATCCAGCTCCCTCGCCAGGACTGAGAAAGCAGAGCTGAGTGTGATCCATCTCCTTCCAGGTGACAAAGCAGATCGCCCATTTGAAAGCCGCTCTTCCAGGAATCAATTGCCAGAAGCACCAGAGCTGAGGCAAGGCGCGCGGTGGCCAGTTGTGCTGCGAAGTGGACATCCAGAACGCAGGCGACGAGGTGAGCTGACGAGGTGCGAAGGTCGAACTGTCCGGCTCCAGGCGAGTGCAACAAGCAAAGAATAACGAAAGAGATATGAGAAGGATAGTGCCTATCACAGCGAGGAGCTGATCGAGGGTGTAAGTGTGCAAACTTTACCTCTCGGACGTACTCGTCCGCAAACCAGTCGAACACGTCCTCTCGGACCTCGTTCTCCAGCGTGTACTGCATCTCTTTTTACGTCGTGGTGGTGGTGGTGGTGGTGGTGGTGGTGATGGTGATGGTGATGGTGGTGTCGGCGGAGGTGTTGCTGGTCTTGTTCTTTCACTGTGTTGTGGTGGTGTCGATGCTGGTACTGGTGGTAGCTGGGGAGTCAAGGGACGATAGTGCAAAATTTGCTCTGTAACCACCGCAGAGCTAGGGCCATCTATTGCTAACGGCTCTGCAGCTTCACTTTCCTCCTTGCCAACAGCTTCCACAACGCGAGGACTTCTGCTCCATCCACATATCAGCTTCTCAGAACGGAATCCTCTCAACCGGCACATTTCTATATCGATCGCTCAATGCCATCCCTCTCCAATGCCGTTTGCGAAGGGTCACTGGCCAACCCACCCCAGATTTGTCGCCACGATACCCTCTGCTGGTCAACTCGTCGATCCGTTCCTGGATGCCCTCGGCTTGGGCCACGAACTGTCGCAGCATCATTCGCGATTCGATATGACAACTTTCGATTTCGTTGGACGTCATTATGAAGCTGGTGTTCTTGAAGCAATGCCGCACACTGCTCTCTATGCCAAAATCAATATTGGGCCCAAGTTCCCGCTTGGCGTGCGCCTCCACATGGCTGGCTATCTGGATGAAAACCACTCCGTGTCCATCTTCGCCGATGTTACGAAGTCTTGTCGCACGACAATCAGCATTGCTGCATATCCGCCAGGGTCGTGGAGTCTCCTCATCTTCGTCGAATCTCCAGTCGTTGCATGCGTAAGTCGAGATGAAGGCATGAACACATTCGTGTACCAACGTTGCGACGATGCCATCGACATGGCTATACTTGGCGTGTGATGGATGATCTCGGTGGACATCAGCCGGATCCATACGCACGTCTGTCCAGCTATGGGCCTTTCTTTTATGCTTGCAAAGACCTAACGCCTGACTGTGTCTAGCCAAGCCTATCCTCCACTTGAACCGACACCGTCGTAGGGCATCGAAGAAGAATATCTCGCTAATGATATCCACACCCTTCTGCATGAGTTTCGTAGAGGGAATCGCAAATGGACATGTTCGCTGCCGCTTTCTAAACCTCTGGAGTGCGGCGTCGAGCTTACTCTTCCACGCTCGAAGTTTATGCTCCGGATCAAGACCGATAGCATTTGACTTGTCACTGAGATGGTTGATCAACTGCGAAGCAAGTTCCAACGGACAATGTTTCTCACGGGACAGCGTAAATCTTTGACCGCTGCGCATCTGCCTGACTTTGACCTTGGCGTGATGGAAGTTCACAGATGATGGCTTGGAAGTCGCGAAGAGGAAAGAGTTTCCGGAACTCTGCTTCTCACCAAAGACACTGACTCTTGGACTGACCAGCGGTGGTTGAGATGAATCAGTACTTCGTTGACGATTTGCCACAATGGCTTCAGCGCGAGATCGTCTTCGATGACGAACAACTTTGCTTTGATTTCTTGGGTATCTTCCTGGCATGGTACCTGACGACTGAGGAAATGACGGAAATGAAGACGTAAGACTTGAATAGCTGTGAAAAACTTACGATAAACTGTCTGAAGCATTTATGAAGGAGTCCTGAACTGCTTAAGAATTACCACCAACGCTGATCGTCTAGCGGCGAGACGTGTCTCGCATTATGGATAAGACTTTTCGACTACGATGGTTCTTCCACAAGATGAGACACTTGTGTGCGGAAGCTCGCAGGCGTTCTCAAGTGTTTCAGCCACGGTAAGAATATCTTCGAGTTATGGAATCTTGCAATTAGCTGAAATCGCACGCCGATTGAGTATACAGGCTACACTTAGCAGCTACCTGGGTCGATTTGCGAGGCATTGATCTGAGTATAAACGCACTTGCTGAAAACACTTGTGACCGAGACAGCTCTACAGACTAGCGTTCCTTCTTTCCATGTGGACATATCGTACCATTCGATCGAATTGCTCGTGGAAACGAACGCCATGTCCAAGCTTATAGACCAGATCAATCAGAGTAATCGCCTTACTGCAGATTGGCATGTCAGCGAGTCCAAGGCACGTACAGCCTCTGGATGCGCTCCAAGCAATCCTGGAATGACCGATTGGCAAACTTCCTTCCCTAACCAACACCCCCACGACAGACTCTCGCTCACAGATGCTACAGACCGATCTCGTTGGCAAGGGCGCCATTCACTTCAGTCTCGTCCCCGATTTTGCGGAGGAGGCCATCATCACCTCATTAGTCCTCGGCATCAGAATCTGTCGAAGAAGAGCTGAAGAGTCGAGACCCATACGACGTGTTCGTGATTTCCAGATCTGTCAGAAATCATGGACGTCCTGTAGGTATTGCAGAATCTAACTGCAGGTCTAATGGCAGTGCACCAGGCTGAAGACAATATCTAGACCTGCAGGTATGGATCGTGACAATCTCAATTTCTTTAGGGCAGCAAAAATGTCTTTCGGAATTCAGGTAATTCTTATGCCAACCGGTGTTCTACGCACGACGGCGAGCTCGCGACTACCTTTCTTTTCGGAAGGGAATGTTGCATTTAGTTAGCACTTTATTGCACGACGGATTTGATCTAGATAGGAGAGTTAGAATTGTTTACTAGAAGTTATAAACGTCCTAGTCTGCTTCTCTAACTTCGACTCTATATCCGAAGACTAGTAGGAGAGTTAGATTAAAGTTTCGAGGAGAAGTAGTAGTATATTACTTCCTATAGTAGTCTTATAGTCTCTAGACGTATATATAACTACTTAATATCTATCTAAATTAGAGGTAACTTACAATCTTATTTACTATAACTAGTATTAAAGAGAAGTAGTTAAGAAGTATAGTAATTTATATCGAACTTCTAACTACTTCTAGGAGTATATATAAATTTATAATACTACCGATAGATTTAGATACAATCTAGCTAACCTATAATAAGCGATACTTCTAAAACCTAACTCTCTAAATAGTACTACGAATAGAAGTAAATAGTATAGTCTTAACTTTAGAGTAGAGTCGATACTTATTTAGGAAGCTATACTCGATCGATTGCCTTTAAAAGTTACGTATACCGCTAGGTATATATATAGCAAATAAATAATAATAAATAATATATTATAATAAATACTAGAGAACTAAAATCGTAGTCGTACTTATAAGAATCTTAGTAGTAGACTAATAGCGTTAGTCTACTACGATAGGGATTACGACGAGCCGAGCTTTTACTAACTAACTAGGGTCTAATAGCGGACCGCTAGCGGGCTACGTCGCCGTATTAATAAGGGCTACGTCGTATATACCTAGAGTAGCTACGTCGCTTACCCCTATCGATAGGAATAAAATTAGAATCTACGCTCTCTTCTTTCTATAATTCTCTAAGATTATTCTTATATACGAATAGATCGGAGGCTATTATATTACTATATAACCTAATACTCGTCCTATATACCCTTACTCCTAACGATATCCTAATAGTACTATTTAGAAATACTATCTTACTTATTCTCGTTAGTACCTAGTATCCCGTCGTTTATAATAATCTCTATTCCTTTCTTTCTATATAGCTTCCTTACGAATACTATCCTATCCTATCCGACGGTTAATAATAATCTCTATCCCTATTCTTCTATATACTATCCTTCTCCTTCTATATCTCTCTCTTGTAAATCCTACCTTATCTAGTAGTTGTTCTTATTCTTAATAATCTCTACCCTATTCTTATTCTTCTATATAGCTACCTAAACTATATATTAAACTCCTAGACTCCTAAACCTATAGAAGTACTAGTAATTAAGTTACTAGACTTACGATCTATTACTATAAAGACTTCCTCTTCCCTACCTATATCCTAAACCCTCTATAAATACCTAGTATCTACTCTAAAGTAGAGTAGACTCGGAGTAAACGATCTAACCCTCCTTATAACCTATAACTCTAAGATATCCTTTTCTCTCCTCTCTAATTTCTATAAACCTACCTTACGATAACCCCTTGTTCTACGAAATTCTTTATTATAATAATCTAATCCGAAAAGTATTTTATCGCTAATCTACTAGAAAGTATAGATGTAATTATCGAAACTAACTAGCGTCTATATCTCATTTCGATACTTTCTTTCTAAAATAAATAAAAAAAAATTATAGAATAAAATAAAACTAAACCTTACTATAGGCGTAGTCTTTTCTTTAAAATAGAGTCGAAGCGAAGCTTAAATCTTACCTAAAGACAAGTCTATATCTCATATCTCCTAATCTATCCCTTCCTATCCCTCCCTTTTTCCTTAAATTTATAAATTTAATATAAGAAGGGTATATTAGCAGGTAGATAGGGTAGTAGTAGGTATAGGTAGTATTCGATAAGAATCTAAGAGAAGAGGGAGGAAGGCGGGCGAGTTAGCCTATTACTAAGCGCTAAGCCCTACTTAAGGCATTAAGACCCTAGCTTTACTCGAGCCTAGTTATATACCAATTACGTATAACCTCTTTAGTCCTAATATACGCTTCCCTTCTAAAGGCCGCGCCCTTGTAGCCGGTTTTTATTCTAATCTTAGCCTCTATCGCCGCTAACTTAGTAGGCTAATAAGCTGCTTAGTCCGCGCTAAATTAAACGCGCAACTACCGATTATATAACTATATTAAACCTTACCTCTAATATAATACAACGCCCAACTCTAACTGCGCTATCCTTATATATAATAAAGTAATATATATCTAAAAGAATTAAGGACTATCGACTAATTACAATACGAGCGCGTCTTCCCTACTATAATAGGTAGGCGTACGAGGTATTGTAGTACTGCCTCCGTTCTAAGTAATATCGTTCGAGTTCTTTGCGTCTACTCTAAAAGACCTAGAAATATCCGCTCCGAGGGATTATTCTTATTATTACGAGGGCTATTATTTACTATCGTAGTTTCGCTAGCCCTAATTAGTTAGGTTTAGCAGCCTTTAAGTGTTAATTAATCTTATCTTTTTAAAAACACAGTTCGTCTAGTTTCTATAAATAAAGGCTATTATAAGTGTAGTAGTTAAGGTTCGCTTTACTTAAAGGGTCGGAAAGATCGAGGAGTAACCTATTATTTACAAGATCGACCCTAGCTAGCTTAGCTCTATATTTTTGCCCTTAGTTAGTCTATTAGTCGCTTAATCTTTTAAGCCTTAAACCCTTCGAACGGCTTCTTTTAACCTAGTTAGTACAGTGCGTTCCGGCCTTAGGTATATAGTATAGGTAAGGTTGTTCCTATAGGCGTAGTAATAATAGCAAGTAATATTAATAATAGCGGCTTTAGCCGTCTTAGCGCTAACTTCACCTTGCTTCTAATTTCCTTCTTTAACTAACAATAACCTAGTAACACCGTTACTAATACGACTACGTCGATTTCCGATATACCGCTAGCTCGTAGCGCGACGCCGTTATTATTACTATTATTATTCGCTCGTACGCGTACCCTCGTCGATTGCCTAGGCCTCGAGGGAATAAAGGAATAAGAGGGGGACCTAAATACCTAGGGAAGGGCCTTATAGGGCGCATTAGTAAAGAGGTAGAGCCCTTAAAAGAGTATACGATTAGTTAACGCGTCGTAGCGCGCTTATTAACATTCGGTGCGTATTTACTATTATAGTATAGTCTTATTGTCCGGGTATGCTAGCTTCTAATTAGTTAGCGAATAATACCCTAGGGGTAGCATTAGTCCTAGGCCTTCTCTAGTAGCGTTAGCGACATTATAAGCTCTTAGCCTTCTTCTTGTTCTTTATACTAGTCTAATACTCGTCTAATAGCTTAGTTATATCCTTAAAGGAACCTTCGGCTTCCTACGAGTCCTATTTAGGCGAATAGCCTTGCTATCTTAATAGGTACTCCTTCTTGCCTTGCCTAGTCCGATGCTTTAGTATACGCTCTATAGACTATAGTCCTTTACTATTAGCTAAGACTTCTTCTAACTTAGCAGGCGCTTTATCGCCTTCGCGCTAGTAGTATAGTTTAAGAAGGGATATATAGAAGGTGTTATAGATAGTATAATAAGGAGGAAGCTATAACTAATAGGCCTATATAGAGGAGCCTTTAACTTCTCGGATGCGGAATAGACTAATATATCTTAGTACGAGCTTAGGTCTTCTTTTGCTATTAGATAATAGGTGTTTACGGATACGGAGGTTCTTTATACTAAGTATAACTATATCGCCTTAGTTAAAGGTTATTAGCGTATAGCGCTTATTATAGTAGACCTTTTAATATTCTTAAGCCTTTATTAGCTTCTTAGCTATCTTAGTATAGATTTCTCGCATCTTCTAGATACGTTCTATTGCCGCTAGTGTCTCTAGTACTTAACGCGCTTCCCTTTCCTTACGCTTAGCCTCGAGCGGTAGTAGGTCTTATAGTAAGGCAGCGTTCTAGCCTATTATAGCTATATATAGTAAAACTTTAGTTAATAAGTATACGCTATTATTGTATACGAATTCTATAGGTTATAGGAGGTTAACCTAGTCGTTAGGGTTCTTATTAATATAGCTACGTAGGTACTACTATAGGGTAGCATTCTACCTCTCTGTTTAACCGTTAGTCTATAGATAGAAGGCTGTTAATAGCCGATGCTTTAGTCTTAGCTGTAGGTATATTTCGCTCTAATCGTGCGATATTAGTATCGATCTATAATCGGATACGATCCCCTTAGGGGTTCCCTAATAGATATAGAAGATATTATTCTATAGCGCCTCTACTATATTAATAGTAGTCTAGTCTTTCCGCGCTAGGATATATCGAGCGCCTTTAGTAAATCGATCTACTATAATAAGGATAGTATTATATACGTCCTTACTGCCCCTACGCTTAGTAGGCGGAAGGCCTATTCTTACTGTTAAAAACCCTAAGCTTTTAAGCCGCGGGGCAGCGGATGCTACCTCTATCGAGATCGCTGAGACTTAGCAAAGTAATATTAGCTTACTAATAAACGATACTTTGCTAGTAGAAGAGCCTACGCTAGCAGAAGAGCCTACGCTAGTAGAAGAGCCTACGCTAGTAGAAGAGCCTACGCTAGTAGAAGAGCCTA